TAATTCTAATTTTTAAGATCCAGGCAACCAACCATCGGAACGGACGCTCGACACGACTGGATTAGCAGACGTCAAATTCGGGAGAGAGATTCGCGAGAAGGAATTTTTATTGGATCCGAAAGTATCCTTCCTAAATCACGGGAGTTACGGGACGGTACCTCGCCGTGTGTTAGACTTACAAACACAGTGAGTAGGCCTATAGTATACCCATAGTGTGCTGTTGTGTAGGTTAAATGTGTTCGTTCATTTGTTGCTACCCGGCTTTTGTTGTGGTGTTGGAGTAGCACCGTATTCTCTCTGACTATAGAAATTAAAGGCTGTAGTGGAGTCACTGATCCCTTCGGCGTCCGTGGTTTAGCACCATATATATATATAATATATATATATATATATATATATATATATATATATATATATATATATATACATATATATATATATGGTTCCATGACAAATGATCTCAGGACAAATGATCTCAGACAAAATATCTCAGACAAAATATCTCACGGACAAATGATCTCAAGACAAATGATCTCAGGACAAATGATCTCAAGGACAAATGATCTCACGGACAAAAGATACCAGGACAAAATATATCAGGACAAATGATATCATGGACAAATGATCTCAGACAAAATATCTCACAGCAAAATTTTATTAGTATGTACGATCAGGGGCGTAGCGAGGGGGGGGGGGGGGGGGGCGGGGGGTGCGGACCGCACCGGGTGACACCATTTAGGGGGTGACACCAAGGCAAAAAATAGCAAAATATATAGAGAAAAACTCGAGGGGGGGTGCAAATCGAAAGTTTGGGGGGGGGGGGTGCAAATCGAAAACTTGAGGGGGGGGGGGTGCAAATCGAAAGTTTGAGGGGGGGTGCAAATCGAAAGTTTGAGGGGGGGGTGCAAATCGAAAACTTGAAAGTTTGTCCCTGGGAAGGGTCTCTATGCCTCTGGGGGGGTGACACCATTAAGTGCCGCACCGGGTGACACCCGACCTCGCTACGCCACTGTGTACGATGATTTTAGTTGATTTGAACTTTTTTAAAATTTACTGTCAATATGGTTTTGTTTACTCTTTTTACGCAAAATGATTGTTATAAAATGAATTTGTTAAACTTAACAAACAAATGTGAATGGGTCTTCAGGTTGGTAACTTAAAACTGTTGTTTTTACTGCATCATCAACACAAAAATAAAGTGTACGTTTCATTGCTATCAGGTACATCGTTATGGTCACACATTTCCAATACTATGTGAACGTGTATTGTGTGAGCTTCCGCTGTAGTCTACATGTTCTTACTTGACATTTCCTAATCTCTTTGCCTGCTGCTCTACTTATGGCTTTTATAAACAGAAATTCATTAGAAACTAATGCCCTATACCCTATCTGCGAGGTAACGAAAGAGGGCTTAGCTGAGTAATCACATCTAATACTGCTTTGTTTGCATGTACGCTACGACAAACTTCGCTTCGCGATGACCGCTGTCGTTTAAATAAGCATTTGTCACCTGATCACTAAGGTGTGACCGACGCATAACAATTGACTTTAGATGCTAGATGTATTGTCCATGGAGGGCGGATATCTTTCCAATAAGGCATGTCTCTGCCATCAAAGCGGGCGGCTACCTTGATTCGAAGGTGTGTCTTTATTGTTATTTCATTCCCTTTTATCTAGTTTCGTCCACCTGACGTGGTAGGATTGTTTCATTTTTGTCACGCACACCTACGCTGTCTATCTAAACAAATTCTTTAATCTTCGCATACTATATTAGTAAGCTTAATTTTAAAATGCTTAGTACAATATGGCAAATTTATACGGCAAACATTTCTTACAATTATTATATAGACCTATAAACAATATTAAACATAGTAAACAAAACCATATGACAATCAATAAAAAAAATGTCCAGATCAACTAAAATTATCCAATACACTTTTAAAATTTTGCTGTGAGATATTTTGTCTGAGATCATTTGTCTGAGATCATTTGTCCATGGTATCATTTGTCTTGATATATTTTGTCCTGGTATCTTTTGTCCGTGAGATCATTTGTCCTTGAGATCATTTGTCCTGAGATCATTTGTCCGTGAGATATTTTGTCTGAGATATTTTGTCTGAGATCATTTGTCCTGTCACCATATATATATATATATATATATATATATATATATATATATATATATATATATATATATATGCATGCCGGGCGACCTACATAGGAGGGTCAGGGGGGTACTACTTGAATCAGCTGACAAACTGTACCAGGGACACCCGCGGTCGTGTGATCCGAGGCCCCGGGCTACCCGCGAACACTATATGGGATCTTTATTCGTTCTAAAGAGCGCCCTACATGTATCTTCGGGGGAGATTTTTTTGTAAAATTAGGAGTGTTCTTTAGTTTTGTATATATATATAGGCCTATAGGCCTATATATATATATATAAATAAATAAATATATATATATATATATATATATATAATATATATATATATATATATATATATATATATATATATATATATATATATATATATATATATATATGCTATAATGTATATTTATGTTTGGTAAAATTGATATGTGAATTGTCAGTATCTAGTTGCATCCTCTTAAGTCTTCAATATAATAAGTTGAGACTTTGAGACATCAACTTTTATTTCGTAAACCCATAATTGTTCAAGCTCTCACCCCCCCCCCCCTATAAACGAGTTAGTATACTGCCGGCGTAAGTTCCGATATTTGGATAGAGTAAGTGAAACATTATTTTTTTTTACAATAAAATAGGAAATTCATGCCCTACATTGGGAACGTTCTACTAACCTGCGTACTGTATAAATCTAGTAGGCTACTTGATAAGCTTTACTGTATCTGGTTCTCCTTATTAGCCTTTACCGTACACAAAGGTGAAAAAAGATAAGACTTAAGTCTACTTTTCGAATTGTAATTGTGGCATGATATTTAGACCTTGGCCTACTTGTTGAAGAAAATGGCTTGCCACATCTTGATTTAAAAGATTTTTATTGTTGAAAAATAAAATGTTTTAATAGGTTGTGTCAGCTTATTTATTCAACCACTCTATACCAAAATTTTCCGAAAAAACAAACAAACAACCCACCAAGAATATAGAAAATAAAAAACCGCGTTAGGTTTATATTACATTGCTTATAACGACCCATACACCATTTAACACGATATGACTAAATGAACGTTCACTTGTTAAAATATGTGCAGTATCGCCTAACATTGAACTAGCTGTTAATGACACTTCATTTATCTCGACAACTTCTCGATTAATTATTTGAGGCCCATGAGGAGCTAAGGGCTGCAGCTACACATCTCCACCGGATTCTCTTTAGTTGAGCCCATGTAAATCCCGCATCCCTTGCTTCTCCTTCCACTGTCCTTCTCCAGGATTGCTTAGGCCGGCCTACTTTTCTTTCAGTGGGGGTTCCAGTCCAGTTATTGTTCAGCGATGTTGACCTCTTCGGTCCCTTCTCAAAGTGTGCCCCATACATCCCTATTTTGTTAACTTTAATATCCATGTCTATTGGCTATTGTTTAGTGTGTTGCCACATGTCTTTATTTGATATTTTGTTAGGCCATCTTATTTTGAGGATCTATCGTAAACATATATTTGTGAGCACTGTAGCCTGTCTGTATTGCCTTGGTAAACCTCGAGGTCTCCGAGACATAAAGCAATACTATCTTAACTTATTCTTAAGATACCCGATGAAGCAAAAGAAATGTGGAAATTAATTTTGCGGAAATTCTGAAACGTGTTAGTTTACTAAACTCGTTTCAGAAACACCCAAGCTTTTATTTAGTAATATAGGCCTAGTTATGTTTGTAGTTGGTCTACAGCGCATTTGATTTTCTTCACGGACGCAAGAAATTCCATGTTTTTTTTTTCTGGGTTATTTGCAAAGTTTAAAGTTACAAGCTACTAGATCTATATATGATTACTATGAGCGCGAGATAGATAGTAAACTAGACTGTGCTCACGCACTATCCAAGTGTTATTTGATTTTCTTCATTTAGATCTACACGTTACAAAGCGAGGTCACTGTGTGTTACTGTTAGTTCAAATAGTTCAAAAAATCACAGGTCGCAGTGACCCAGTCATCCAGGTGTCCACGTTACGTTGCATAGACAAGGCATGTCGTGGTCAGAGGCGTTTTTATAAAAAAAACTACCACAAAACGGTAGTCTGATAAAAATTACTGTCTATTGGATAGAGAATACTGCATTCGAACTTTAAATTGTATATCCATCTGATTCTTTTTTCTAGTATCGATGTTACTGTTAGCTAAGAAAACAAAAGTGAAAGTGAAAAAATATATAGATAGGTTTGCACATCAGCACCATCTACGCATACGCGGAAAGGGCGGTAAGCGGTAAAAGTAAAATCTCTCTGGAGTCTTGATTTTTCAAACGCCTAAAGTTTAAACGGTCTTGATTTTTTAAAACTGCAAACCCTGAAATTTCAAAAATCATATTTAGCGAATCCGGAAAGTGGAAAAAAGTAGAACTATTAGAATCCGGAATTCCGGGATATCCCGGAAAAGCAACACTCCTGGAAAATATGTATTTTAACTTAAACCAGTGTCCGCACACTCTCCCCTCCGGAAATTTAAGTGCGTCTCCCCCGTCGAAAAGTTTTAGTGCCCCCCCCTCCCGGGAGAAATCTGTCTGATAAAAACACTCAGAGGCGTAGCGAGGCAGGGGGCGGGGGTGCGGACCGCACCGGGTGACACCATTTAGGGGGGGGGGGTGACACCAAGGCAAAAAATAGCAAAATATATAAAGAAAAACTTGAGGGGGGGGGGGTGCAAATCAAAAGTTTAGGGGGGGGGTGTGCCAATCGAAAATTTGAAAGTTTGTCCCCGGGAAGGGTTGCTACGCCTCTGGGGGTGACACCATTAAGTGCCGCACCGGGTGACACCCGACCTCGCTACGCCACTGGAAACACTGCTTGTCACGCATCTGTTTATCACCTTTATGCTTCTCTTACTATCGGACCTAACCTACTACTTCACTATATATTACACTCACAGGTATAACCTTGAAAGAGAGAGACATCCGGATTTCTGGTTTCGTCTGAACTGCAAAAATTATGTTGATAGAACAAGACAAGCGGTGGCCGATTTTATTGGGGCAGAGCTGGACAATATCGTCATCGTGGACAATGCAACCACTGGTAAGCCAAACTCTAACTAGTAAGATATTAAAGTAAACTAGCTATTTAACCAAATGATACTAGTTCATCATTGCCTAAGCACTCTCGGTTTTCCTCCAGAGTGGATAGGCAGAATATAGGGGCAGTAAGGGGGTCATCCATAAATGACGTCACGCTTTTTTTTTTGACGATTTTTACCTCCCCCCTCCCCTCCATCACACGTCGTCACAAAAAGCCAGACCCCCTAAAATGACGTCACACCTCAACCTACAACTCCCCTCAAAATTGCAGTTGATTTTTTTTTAAAACATCGATATTTTTCCAAAATCTTGTCTAAACTATTACAATTTTGTAACAGTTATCTAAAACGCGAAATAACGTATAAAATTCGTTTTCTAACCTTGCTTTTTTATAATGCAAAAATGTGACGGAGTAACATCTGAACCCCCCCCCCCCTCCCCCTCATCACACATCGTCACAAAATTACGGACCCCCCCCCCTCCCCCCTACGAGTGTCTGAAAAGAGTGCACAGTGCAATAAATACAAACTAAATACATCCCTAAGCCAGGGGCGGAACTACAGTGCCGCCAGACCCCGCAATGCGGGGGGGGGCCCACGCCATTTAGGGGCCCAGAGCCGACCATAATAATTTTTTTTATAGTTAAAAAAAAAGTAAATTTTCTTTCATTTTTGACTTGATGGTTGTTTTGTAAAAAATTACCGTAGCTGCGGTTGGATTATCTTTATTCTATAGACACCACCCCACGCTCTTGTTTCATCTTTTTCCCTTTGTTTTTAAACAACTTTGAAAGCCGAGTATTTCTCCTACAATTAAACTTATCAAAGATAAGCAAATGTTCAAACCACTTCCATGACTTATTTCCCTTTTTTAAAAAATAGTCAAATAGGGGTAATCATAAGCTCCTTTTAATAGATTTGTACTAAACAAATTAAAAAGCAATTACTTCTCTTAATTATTATTGTTTTATAAGTAATTACTAAAGAATGATATTGTATAAAAGGGAAATGTATTGAAATGTATTAAATCAATAATATTTTAAACATTAAAAATATAATTACGAGAAAAAACATAAAAATAAACATAACACGAGACACCATTACTTATACAAAGCTTTCATATTTTATATTATTTTGACCGACAGGATGATAAAAGGGCCTCTATCAAAAATTAATTAAAACTGATTTTCACAAAACACGCTAATGCACTTACACACATGACATGATGTTGAAATTTTTTTTTAATGATGCTTTTCAAATCCCGAACAGGACAGCAATGAGTATCCTATGTTCGTATTATGTGAATGCACATATATATATATATATATATATATATATATATATATATATATATATATATATATATATATATATATATATATATATATATATACAGGGGCGTAGCGAGGGGGGGGGCGGGGGGTGCGGACCGCACCGGGTGACACCATTTAGGGGGGTGACACCAAGGCAAAAAATAGCAAAATATATAGAGAAAAACTCGAGGGGGGGGGGGGTGCAAATCGAAAGTTTGAGGGGGGGGGGGGTGTGCAAATCGAAAACTTGAGGGGGGGGGGGGGTGCAAATCGAAAGTTTGAGGGGGGGGTGCAAGTCGAAAATTTGAAAGTTTGTCCCTGGGAAAAGTCTCTATGCCTATGGGGGGGGGTGACACCATTAAGTGCCGCACCGGGTGACACCCGACCTCGCTACGCCACTGTATATATATATATATATATATATATATGGGGGGCCTAATACATTTTTTTGCGGGGTGGCCCTTTTTTTCTAGTTCCGCCACTGCCCTAAGCTGTTTCACACCAGTGCTATAGAAAATAACAACACAACAGGTGTAAAATCGGGTGTTAGGTTGCAGTGGTAAACCATTTAGTATTCTTTTATTAATGTCAACACTGAACGTAACCTTAACCTTAGTAAGTTATAACACTTCAAAGTATTCAAATTGATAAATGAGATCTACCAAAATCTGAACATCCCTATTTTTTGGAAGAGTCTATTATTAGTGTTAGGCAGGAAGAGCCATCCAATTTTAAATGTTTTACAATCTTTTTGGTTGTCACTTAAAGACTGTTCTTCTTTTTCTCCAGCAATTAACGCAGTGATTAAATCATATCCCTTCAAGTCGGGTGATGCTATATTGGACACAACCTTGACCTATGGTTCAATACATAGGTTATGTGGGGATTTTACTTCCAGACTTCGATCAGGTTTAAAACATTTTAATTTTTTAATGAGATTATTGAGTTAGGGGTCGTCCATACATGACGTCACACTCGTAGTGGGAGGGGGGTCGGTAATTTTGTGACGATGTGTGATGAGGCGGGGGGGGGGGGGGAGTTCAGATGGTGCGACGTCACACTTTTGCTTTATAGAAAAGAAATGTTAGAAAACGAATTTTAGACGTTATTTTGCGTTTTAGAAAACAGTTTTAATAAATTGTTATAGGAATTGATTAAAATACTCTATTTTGACAGAGTTCAGACCAGATTTTGGAAAAATATCGATGTTTAAAAAAAAATTCGACTGCAATTTTGAGGGGGGGGGGGGTGTAGGCTGAGGTGTGACGTCATTTTAGGGGGGGGTCTGGCTTTTTGCGACGACGTGTGACGGAGGGGAGGGGGGGGGGAAGGTAAAAATCGTCCAAAAAAAGCGTGACGTCATTTATGGATGACCCCTTAATAATTTATTAGGCCATATCGTCACCTTCCAAGGGAAGTAATCAATGATGTAATACAAAAAAATAAACGGTTAAACATATCTGATAAAACCACTGATGTATAATTTAATTGAAATTTAGCTGTTTTTTTTTCACCTTAGTGCATGGCTATTTACATGGGCTACTAGACTTCTAGATATCTAGAAGTTTTTAATTTTACAATACATCAATTTGTAATAAACGACATTTAAGAGTACTGTCTAAGTTATTGAATATTTCAAATATTTGATGTATCAAATGCTACATACTAATAATAGATATACAATTATTAATCCAATAATTCTAACCAATGACAGATTTCCCTCAGTTACAAACCAAGATATTATGATAATACCAGCACTTATCTTACTTTCATTTTTTATATCTTTATACTAAATTGTACATTTACTTCATTACACAATTTGGCTACCTTTAATATTCTATTACTGAATTGTTAAAACATAAAAATGAATGACAAATTAATATATTTCTTACTGCTCCTTATGATTTTCTTAAAGATGTTGAGAGGGTAAAATTGGAACTATATTTTCCTCTTGATGAAGAAACTATAATAAAGAAATATGAAGAAGTTTTCCAGAAACATCCAAACATTAAAGTGGCAGTTATTGGTGAGATATTTCACAAGTCTACATCTTAACCCACTCACTTTCTTGTAGTCTTATATATATATATATATATATATATATATATATATATATATATATATATATATACATATATATATACATATATATACACACACACACACACACACACATATATATATATATATATATATATATATATATATATATATATATATATATATATATATATATATATATATATATATATATATATATATATATATATATATATATATATATATATATATATATATAAGGAAATTAATATGTTGCATAGTAACAAAAGTTAAAATTGAATTCATTTACTTTTATTTAAGTTTTTTAGAAAATATTTTTAAAAAACCCCACAGAAATGTATCAGTTGCCATATTAAAAAAAAGGTCTGAAATGGTGTCATCATTGATACTTATCAAGTAGTGTACCCTATAACACTATTAATAATATATGTCAATAAAAAGATAACCTATCACTATTTTGCCTATGTCCTTAGATCACATCACTAGTCCCAGTGCTATTCTAATGCCCATCAAAAGACTGACAGAGCTATGCCATAAAAATGGAGCCCTAGCCATCATAGATGGAGCTCATGCTATAGGGCAACTCCCACTAAACATGAAGGAGTTAAAAGCTGATATTTATACATGTATGTAATTTTAATGTATTTTTGTTTAATGTTATGTAATTGAATATTTACTTTTTTGTATAAAATAATTGTTAATAAATTAGGTATTTAAATTAAATTAGGATTTAAATGCAAATTATTTTGGTTGTAAGATTGGAATCAACCTTTTTCAGCAAATCTTCACAAATGGGCCTTTGCGCCTAGAGGAGCAGCTTTCTTGTGGTTTGGTAGTGACCATGCCGACTGGGTACGTCCACCAAACACTTCCTGGGAAATAGGAAAGTCCCTGGATCTTCAGTTCATTGACCAGGGAACTCGAGATCACGTACCAAGCATTGCGGCTCTACATGGGCTTGAGTTTATCAAAGCCATTGGTGGCATGGTATGTAAGCTTATGTTATTCACAGATGGCCATATGCCATTGTTAGATTTTGACATGTGGATGATCACTTACTGTTCCAAAGCCATATTGAAGCCATTTGGATAAATAACTGTGACTCTTTATATTCAATATATTGTGTTCAACTTTTTAATTTGGGAAGTGTACTGGAAAAATATACACCAATTATTTTCTGGATGATAGTTTATACAGTTTAAAGTATCAAAATTAGAATATTTCTTTTAGCATAGCTCCCAGTTTTTTGTTGTTGTAAAATTAACTATATTATTATAAAATGTCTCTGTACAAGTTTAATGACCCATGTTTTAGATAATATATTTACCAAATAGTTTAAGGTAAAAAAAAAATGATAAAATGTTAATATAAGAAACAAACACAACAAAGTTTAACTGTAGTTATTTCAGCAATGACAAAACAATTGCACATAAAACTGAGTTGTATTTTTATCTCTATGTTTGGTTTACATTTAGTACATCACAACTTACCTTTAAAATCAATACCTTCTTTTTTTAAATTAAAAAGCTTTTGTCTCCTACAGATATATGGTGTGTATAAAATTAATTTAATTTAATCATCATTCTAGTGAAAAGTTTGAATATTTTGTTTAAATATGAAAGCAAAAAATGTTTAACTTTTTAAAATTTGAACACCTTCCAGGAAAAAATAGTGAAATACACATCAGATCTGGCTGAACAAGCAAAAGAATATTTTATCAAAGAGCTTGACCTGAAACCTTTGGCAATCCCACCATCTCTTGAGTCACCAAATCTAAAACTTATAAAGTTGCCTAAATTTAAGAATTACCCATGCACTGAGGTAAGTGTTTCTCTACAACTATAGTGAATGATGTAGATATTGTAGTGAATTTGTTAGGAATGAGTTAATTGTGCTTAGTAGGGCAAGATGAAAAATTTGTATCTTATTAAAACTTTACAATATATTCAAAATATCTCGAAACCACAATAGTAAGTTATAACATTTTATTTTAGCTAATAATTTTTGTTGAAGTAACTAAAATATGTAAAAACCACAGTATTAATTTAAAATCTATGGAAGTTTTTTTCAAGTAATATTTTTCATACATGTTGATGGGTTTAGGACATGAGTAGGTGGACAAAAGCATTGTTTTAATTTGATCTAAGAAGTTCCTCACTTGATTTATAAGCAAATGTTAAGCTTCTTCCACCACAGCTTTTATCCCAATCCCACTTTTTAAGACAGCTGGTTAAACATTTTCAATTTTTATTTCCACACAGGAAGGCTTTACAGCTCTGATGAAAGCAATGTTTGCAGGGTCCAATGTGTTTGGGATCTTGGTGTTAATTGACGGGGACATCTACTTGCGTTATTCAATTCAAGTGTACAATGACTTTGATGATGTCAAGGCCATTGTTGAACTATTCAGAGAGTTTATACGAAACAATATTTAACTAAAACTTCTTATGATTTCTGTTCAGTATTAGCTGTGAATGATGATTAAAACAAATAAAATAAAAATGTGTTTTTATTGTTGTAAAAGTAATAAGATTGTCCTGTTTTCTCATTAGCAGAGTGATGCATTATATCAGAGGAAAAGAGATCCAGTTAGTATCACACCTGGCTAGAGTTAAGTCAGGAATGGAGCTCAGCAGCTAAAAATGTTTTCATTTCCATCAACTCCAGATGTTATCTTGACCCTGAGAGATAACACAACCAACGACCTTCTTGCTTTTGGATCCTTTTTTATTGCATACCATGTGTAATTTCAAATACTAAAACAACCAATGACGTCAAGTTCTATGACAAGTCCATAAAGCCCTTCATTAGGTCTATCTACAACCAAGTTAACCTATGCCCATGTCAGCAACTGAACTGTCCTGGTTATCCGCAGCCTGGGGCAACTAGGTCACATGACATGAGAAACATTGCTCACCTAAGAGCATAAAACATAAAGTTGCGTTCCCACAGGGGTCACAACCAAATAAAGTTTAAATTATTCCTCCCTTACTGGTAACCCATGGTATGTTACATACCTTTAGAAAAAAAAAGTGCTATTCAGCATAATATGGTAAAGGTACAAAAACTTTTTTCATAATGAGATTTTCAATCTTGTTAACTACAGTAGCCATATATCAGTAAGAAGGTTTTTAAAATGCTAGCTTCTATCACTATTTAAAAACACTTTTAAATTGTTTTGCATATTTTCTTAGGATAGGATTAAAATAAAATATTCTGTTTATTCATTAACAGAAAGTCAGTGTGACATCTTGCTGGACTGAAGTTGTCTATGTACTGGCGAATGGGTCGGGGTGTATGTTTTACTGTGATGTAAACACCAGGTCTTATATTTTAAAAAATTAAATCATGTTTGATTCTTTCTTCTACTCTCTCTAGTTAGTGAGATTTAGATTTATGTAAAGAAAATACACAGAGGAAGAATGACAAGCTGATTATTTTTGTTATAACTTTATTGACAAGCAAAAACAATTTAGAACATTAAAAAAAATGCAAAAATAAAAATGAAACAACATTTCAAAGGTGATAACTGAAAGTTCTGTAATGTACATTATATTAAAAACTTAATCATAACAATTAACAAAACAAAAGAAAAATGTTAAATTAACACAAATTTAAAACAAATTTTTTTTACAAAGGCAAGTCTACTCAAGACAGTTATGTCTGAATCAAAACAAAAATGTAATGGCTTTTGCAATAACAATGGTGACTGAAATAACAACAAATCAGTATTTTAAAAACTAATTTAAAAATTTGTTCTAACAAATTACTTATTATCACTTAAGCTTAGTAAAATTGTACAAGTTGTACAAGAATCTGATTTAAATGGATATTCATTAAAGAAAAAAGAAGTAAGGTAAGATCACCTACTAGACAACAATTTTGTCTCACTGATTAATGTTAATCTTTTGATTTATGGCATTGTTTCTGACAACGGTGAATCAATAAAATATTTTGCAAAATAAGGAAATTATTAGCTCACAGGCTGATAGTACAGGAAGTTAAGAGATCACAATAAAAGTAATACAACGAAAGGTAATTAGTGTGAAGACTGATAAGTCTTGGGCTTTGATCATAATGCTATGAATTTTTTGTCATTTAATGACTCTTTGAAAGATTGAATTTCTGCAAAACAGGAATAGTCATCTCTTCTCTAAGTAGACAGATTTGAATTGTACATAAAGTTTGCAGTTTATGTTCATTATATGTGTCAACAAGATTTTTTTGTTTTGTTTATTTAAAAATCACTTACATCTGGTTTTATTACTGTTTGGTCGCTGATAACCATTTTCATTTCCTGTGCCCATTCATCATCAGAGTAGTTTCCCTTATCGATAAAATCTTCATCTTCCTTAATATCGACATTCTCATCTTCTTCTCCATCTTCGTCCATTGCTTGCTTCTTCAGCATAGCAGCAACCATAGCATCCTTCCACCACTGAGGGACATTTTTTACCACTTCCCGAGCCTTTGGTTCCATCTTATACTCAAGGGATTCTTGCTCAGAGACTTTGGTAACGCTTCTTTTGGGTCTTTCAACAGGTCCCTGTTGTGCTTTGGCTCTGTTCTTGGCCCCTTTAGGTCGACCCCTACCCTTTCTCTGAGGGGTTTCTGCGTACAAATAAAAAATTTCTTAAATATATTTGACTAAGGTTTAATAGTTGTATTTTTTTTTAAGCTTCATATTCAAAGAATTCATTCACATCTACATAGCTGTTTTGTAATGTGTTGCCTTATTTTAAATTTCATTCTGTATTTTGTTTTATGTGCTTTACAAATGCTTCTTTAAAATAATTTCAAAGAAATTATAAGACCCTAGACAGGATTGATAAAATTTGTAGTTTTTTATCAGCTTATGAGCGATTTCTGGAAGAGGTACCTAACCTAATAACTAAGCACAGTGAAATTAGGTTATGTATTACGTTGAATGCACAGGTTAATTTTCAATTTTTGAGAAACTCTGATAACCAGAAGTGGAACTTTATTTGTTTTCTAAAATACTAATAATTTGAGTACATTAGTGGACAAAATTTTATACATATGTATAAGATCTTATTTTCTAAATTCTATCAAACTGAGGGATTTCTGGTGACCAGAAGTTTATGCTATATCAGATTTCTCAAATAAATTAAATTCTACCTGACCAATTTCTTTCAAACTTTTCCCGTAGGTTCAGACAACGCAAAGTACTAATTTTCCGCATTATTATATGCACATTGTGTTCATTTGGTGCGCAATTCTTTTTTTTTAAAAGTTCGATTCTATTCTATTTTTAAAAAAAATTGAGTTATTAAAAAACCTTTTTTATAGCTTTTTTATAGTCTCTTTACTGTTATATAAGAATATAATAGAAAGTTATGTGGCAACCTAAAAATATTTAAATCAGATAAAAAGTGTTATCTATACCTGTTGGAGATGCATCTATCTGAGGTGGTTTCCCTTCTTCAGATGACATGGGTTCTACAGACGAAGAAGGCTCAGTGGGGGCAGGTGGCTTCAAAACTTCTGAAGCTGTATCGGTTTTTGAGATAGCAACACCAAGTTTTTTTGCCCTTGCAGCTAGTCTCATTTTTTCCATGTGCTCTTTGCAATGCTGTTTTTTAGTTTTCCTCCTTCTGTTTAAAGATTTAAAGAAAAGTTTTTTAATACAATTTAAACCTCTGATCTTTCAACAATTAGATTTTATATAATTCAAAGCTCTGTTCTTTTAACATTTAAATTTTATAATAATTAAAACAGGAAGGCCTATAACTCTATTATGGTGAACATTAAAAACAAAAGGATATTAGAAATTATTTCTTTTAAAGGAGCTTGCATTAACGTCAGCATCTACTTAATGCCGAGATTGAACACACTGTAGGAGAGCTCTCTCCTAGACTCCCATTACAGGATCAAGCTTTTGCTCATTAGCCAGACTGGAAAGGGTTAAGAATTGATCATTTCTCTCACCCTTGTTACAGCTCATGCCCTACATAGGAGAGATAACTTTCACAGCTTCTTTTCAGGCAAGATAGTGACATGCCCTTGCTTAAGGTTTCATACTTAACTACTATTTGAAATTTGTGGGTTTCCTAAATAAAAAAATACTTTCTTTGTCCTTAATAGTAAGTTATTTGTTCAACCAGAATAAGTGATAACAATACTTAATAACTTAGGGGTTTAAATATCAGTATCACCTAAACATACTAAACAAAAACATAAATATTTTATAACTAATTAAAAAATATCTTTTTCAATACTTCTAATTTTTAAAAATTAAAATCAAATCAAGTTTGAAACAAATCAGTTAGGTACAAGTTGTTGAAACTTCTCGTCTCTATCAAGATTCCACCCAAGACAAAGTAAGTAAAAAGACAAAAGCACTTAGCAATGAAGACGAGAAATCAAGTTAAATAAAAGCTCATTAAAATGCTTTCAAGAAAAAAATACATACATTCTTCTAACTGCTCCGCTTTGGTCACTTCTGTCTATAGCTGGCCTTGGAATAGGTTCTACTGGCCCCAGCACTTTAGTAGGTTCCACAGTGGAGATTAAAATAGGCCACATTAAAATAGCTTTCATCCTGTGGATAAAAAACAAAATCAACCAATAATACAAAAATACAATTTTTGATGTATAAACTGAGTATGATTTTATAATGCTCATATGACTAAGAACACATCCCCCCTACACCAAGTTAAACTGATATATGCTACTCATCATGAGAGTGACTGAGCTATGTCATAGAGCCCTTGCAAACACATACATGTCAAAAAAAATATTACCTGGCATATAAAAGCTTATACTCATTGCTCTGTCTGATGGCTGCCAAATTATTGAAACTGTTTTCCTTCTGAGAAGGCCCTGCAGCCCCTGTGGTTGGTCTGACCTATTGAGTGGACAATGTTTATGGTGAACAAGTTAGTTTTAACACTGCATGTGTAGAGTGGACAATATTTATGGGGAACAAGTTAGTGTTAACACTACATGTGTAGAGTGGACAATATTTATGGTAGACAAGTTAGTGGTAACACTACATGTGTAGAGTGGACATTATTTATGGTGAACAAGTTAGTGGTAACACAACATGTGTAGAGTGGACAATATTTATGGTGAACAAGTTAGTGATAACACTACATGTGTAGAGTGGACCATATTTATGGTGAACAAGTTAGTAGTAACACTACATGTGTAGATTGGACAATATTTATGGTGAACAAGTTAGTGGTAACACTACATGTGTAGAGTGGACACTATTCATGGTGAACATGTTAGTGGTAACACTACATATGTAGAGTGGACATTATTTATGGTAAACAAATTAGTGGTAAAACTAGTTTTAACACTGCAAGTGTAGAGGGGACAATATTTATGGTAACGATCCTATTCATCCACAACTCATGAGTTATTGGCTTTCTATTTACTATTAACCAATCATGTTATGGATAAACATTGCCAGATAAGATAAACACAAAGGCTTGTATAGCATTCATATAGTGTCTACAGAAAAACTACATGGAAATACATAATTAGCAGCTAGTTGTATAAACTGTTGAGGTTATTCTACATCAAAATTCCACAAGATAAAAATCTGGCAAGTAATATTCTTGACTGACCAGTTTTACAATAATATATGACCAGCTTTAGCCAAAACATAAAAAAAAAAAAAGAATTAAAAAATCAAGTTTCTCTAACCTCACATATTTTTTCACCCTTATTTTGTTTGGAGTTGACTTTTTCTGATGCCTGCGTACCTTTACCAACTATGACGCCATTGTTTGAATCATTCTGGTCATCTTCGATAACCACAACTACTTTATTGGAAACTTTCCTACCAAGGCTGCGCTGACTGGCAGTGTTCACAGAGGCCTTCACTGAGCCGCTCTTGACGTTCTCTGGAGCTTTAAATAGGCTCTGCTGATTGGTGGTGTTGATGCTGGCTACACCAGAGCTGCAGCTGTTGGTGGATGGGGCATCTGGACCACTAGACTGAGAGTTTGCTACAGTCTCAGCACAAGCTGTCTTAGTGCAGCTTGGGGTACCTGTATCCTTAGAGTTGTCACTGGTTTTCTGATCAGCTGAGGGGATTGTGGAAGTAATTTTACTGGGATCTTTGTCGACACTGGCAGATGGAGGCATTTTTTTCATTGCAATGACTGTGGCTTGCATTGTGGATGCGTCCATAGTTGGGTTGGCTGGTTTTGTAGATTTATCAGTAGCGACCATATTCGGGTTGGTTGGTTTTGTAGATTTATCAGTAGCGGCCGTATTTGGGTTGGCTGGTTTTGTAGATTCATCAGTAGCGGCCGTATTTGGGTTGGCTGGTTTTGTAGATTCATCAGTAGCGGCCGTATTAGGGTTGGCTGGTTTTGTAGATTTATCAGTAGCGGCCGTATTTGGGTTGGCTGGTTTTGTAGATTTATCAGTACTCTCAAGACTTACCTCAATTTGATTATTAGATTCTGCATCAGTAGCGTCAGGATTTACCTTCGGATTCATTTTACTGTATGTGTATGTAGGTTTTTTCACAGTCATCAGTTTTGGAGGTGGTTTTGCAAAAGCGTAGATTTTCTGACAGCCAAGCGGAGCGGAAACTATACAGTACTTATTTCCAAATGCACTTGAAGGAAACTGTGGTAAAGTCGAAACTGGTGGTTGAGATTCCAGAGGTTTGGCCTGGTACTTTGGACACCAAGAAACCGGAGGGGGGGATACATTTTTCTTTTTAAAATCTTCCCCAACTTTCCCAATGTTCTTCTTCTTACTCATCCTGCCGTGGGCAGTAGGAGGGATAACCGCATCAAAATAGGGATGGTACAGCTTGCACCTGTTTGATTTGAAGCCTTCAAACATGCTGGCTTCGTGCTGCAGCTGCTCCTCTGTTGAAGGGCGTAACCATGACACCGAAGATAAGACATCATCCACTTCTACTACAGATTCCGTTGTTTTTTCTGCAGAATCTGGGGCCTTCTTGTCCTGCACCGATTCGTAGAAGTAGAGATCGCCAGCTCTTTTGATGAGCAGCCTTTTCCTCAGAAGCAATGCTCTCAAAAATCGAAGCGATCCAGTGTTAGGTGGCAGTAAGGGTAGGTCAGAAAATATTTTCTTCCCTTCCACAGTTACTTTGCTTCTTTCCTCAGCCAGTTCTTGCAGTGTTAACGTTTTTGTTTTCTTACTGGGAGGTTCACACTCAAGGTTCGTTTGCCTGGCCGGGCGCTTGTTTCTTAATTTTTTCAGTACACTCTCCGAACCCTCTTCCTCGTTCTCCTCTGGTTTCTCCTCAACCGTTTCACCAGAATCCTCACCGGCAGAAAAGCTGTCATCAAAATCTTCAAATTTTTCAAAACTAGGATCAGATCGCATTAAGGAGAGGTTCATATCAATCAAATCATCTTTTTTACCATCAATTAGTGTCTTCAGCCGATCCTCATTTTGTTGTAAGACTCTCAGCTTATTTTGCAGAACACGCTTGTTCTCCATATATCTTTTCTTAAAAGCCAGACTCAACAGCAGCCGGCGTCTCTTCAAATCAGCAATGTTTTTTACTCTATCCTCCTCAAACACTTCAGTTTTTTCAGACTCTCTTTGGATATAAGCATCAACTTCTTTCTCTTTCTTCTGAAACTCAGCATCATCCTCATACGCTGGAAATTTTAACAGCTGTTCTTGGCATTCAATAGCCTGTAGGTGGACTGAGTGATACATGTTTACAATATCAACGCCAAGGCTCTGCAAAAAAAAAAAAAAATAAGTTGGTTCTTATTTTTACATATTTATCTGGCAAGGAAAGCTAATCTAAATCAGCAGTTTATTTAAAATGCAACATTTTAAAAACATTTTTAAGGAATAATCTATTTATAACATCTAAAAAAATAATTTTGAGTTAGAACCCTTATGCCATCTGTATGAATATCATAAGTAGATGATCTGTATGCTTTGAGGCATAAAAAATGTATTAATTAATTTACAGTTCTGATAGTGTTTCAGATGAAATACACAGCCACACAATATTTCTTGCTATTAACCCAACACAAATAAATCAATGGGTTACTACCTTCATAAGCATTAGCGGCACAGAAATGTTCAGCTCACTTGCTTCTTTTTCAATTGTCGGTGCAGATCTCTTATCAGCTTCTGTTGGAAGATAAATTTAAACACAAATGTTGACAAAACTTAAGCACTTAATGATATTTTCAGGATAATTACCATCATGAACGACAGAGACATAATTATCGCTTACTGAATAGCCTGCGTATACGTCCAAACCTTGCTCTCTTTTTGTCGTTAACAAAAATGATACTTTTAATTTCATTTTCCACCGCGGCAGTTTGCACTTGTACTCTTTTCTTTTCAAGATCCTTGAACCAAAAAAAAAAACCATTAATAAAAGACTAGGACTCCAGTTTGACAATAAACTAATATTTTTATGATAATAGGATATTTTTGATAACCAGGGAATGTAACTCTTCTAGGAGAGATAACTACTGTATCGAACTGCTTCTGCCTCAGGCTGAATAAAAGGTATTTAATCTCTTTCAATGTAAAAAATTAAGAATGATCACTTAAACTTACTTCTTTGAAATATGCTGAAGAGAGGAGTTCTTGAACATTGAAATGTTTATCTTTTAAAAATGCTTTATTTAAGGCCGTTTCAACACGCTTTGATAAAACCTGGAGAAAATATACAAAAATATTACTTTTTTTTTCACTTTTATTTCTTAAGTGACGTTATACAATCAATGATATGGAGATTCAATTCATTATAGCTTTTTACTTAAAGTTATACAATTTATACTACCGAAAAGGATTTCTAGTTAAAATGTTTCAACCAACTATTAAAAAAAAATCCAATTACAAAAGTAAACAAGCCAAAACATTAATATAAAAATCTACAAACTTGTAAAAAGTTACTTGTATTTGGTAAATAAAGTAAAAAAATGAATTTTATGAGATAATTACCACATTGGATGGGTAAATGTCTTGCTTGTTTTCTTCAACTGTTTCGTTGACAGCCAGTTGCATTAGTTTTTGTGTTGTCTCCGGTGTCATCTTTCCACTAGCAAAAAACAATGTCAGTAAAACAAAAATTACGTTGCAATCATTATGATTATGGACAATTTTCCATTGGAAAGGGGCGTATGTGTGTAAAAAATTATTCTTTAATAACATCACATAAAAGAGTTGGTGATTAAATTATAGTTTTGTCAAGGCTAGTGAAAATACTTGCATTAAAAAGCTAACACATTTTCTTTTCCTATATTTCTAAAAACTTTCAAGGGTAAATAAACAAAACAAACTTTTTTTGATTATCTTTGGCTAACAGCTTGTACAGGTTCTCTGTCAGCATTCTGTGAAAAGTGATTTTCTTTGCCCAGTGAGCTAAACCCTTGGGCTTGGTACATCTGCTTGCATTAAAACAATTCAGCTGGAATGGTGGCCGAGGGGGGATGAATTCAGGATCTGGAGATATTTGAAACCGAAATTATGCTAAACAGAAAAAAAAAGATTTATAACTGCCAAATGATTTGTAACAGGATTGTAATGATTGAGACCATATGTTTGGTAAATCTTCTAATTGATAGTTAATTATCAAAATGTTTGGTAACATTATCAAAATAATTTATAGCACTTTCATAATGATGGGTGAGATCATAATATTTACAAATGCTTAAAAAATTATTCCTAACAGTATCAAAAAAACATAATGACATAAAAGAAAGATTGATAACAACCTCAAAAGATTAGTAATTGCATTAAAATGGTTGTTTACATGTTCAAAATGATTGATAATGAGATCAAAATTCTCTAGATAATGCAGACAATACAGTATCACCTGAATCTAACTCATATCATCAAGTATCTTTATTTAAAAGTTTGATTTTTGTTATCAAAACAAAAAACAAATACAGGTTTACACTCATTTATGAAATCTGGTGACCTAAAGCCGCGCAACTAAAAGCGCACAAAAATAGGGCGCATGGGCATTTTTTCCCAAAAATCGAGCATTTATAGACATTGACAAAGAATAACTACTTGTACCATGTAGCATAATAAAACATATTTCCACGATATATGACAAAATTAAAAGTATTAATATAACTATTTTGCATTTGCGCATTTTTCAGTTTGCGCAGTTTTCCAATGGCATATTTTTCTGGGAAATCAACCGACCTTTACACGAAGAAAGATAGAATCTGAAATCAAGCTGAACACTAACCAACACGATTCCTTCTATCCTGCTCCTGTCTTTTATAATCCTCTGAGCTAACTCCTAGCTGCATGGACAAGTATTCCTTGGCCTTCAATTCTTGTTGCTTCCTTTCTGCCACAGAAAGGGATTTCCCTAAAAGCAACATTTTAGCTTGGGTCTAAAAAGACAAAACAAAATGAATTAATGCTACTTTAATTAAAAGATGAATGTGAATACCGATTTCATTTTTAAAACCATAATTTAACTACTGAAACAGTAATTATGTATTAATATTTCTAGTTTGAACAATCAAATTCAAGTTAGATGGTTATTATCCATTTGAAATGGTAAACTTTAGATAAAAAATGTGCAATAACGTAAATAAAAACATTAATGTTTTAAATTTCATAAAAAGCCAATGACAATACAAAAAAAAAATGACAAATCGAGTGGGAAAGTTACGCACTGAAAGATTATCAAACCACTGCGTTTGGCTTTTCCATTTTTGCAGGGTGCGATACCTGCTGAGCAGCATGCTGTCTGTCCGTCCCTGGAAATGGGGAGCCATCTTGCACCATGCTGGGTGATTTAAAAAATATAATTTTTGTATACTTTTTAGCACATAATTTTAAAACAAATTAAAATATTGGTATTGACAAACAACAAAAAAAAATACTGGATCGTACTAAGAGATTCTTACATCTGACTTTTGTGTTAATATAGTGAAATATATTCATATGCTGAGTGATTTAAAAAATTTAATTTTTGTACACTTTTTAGCACACAATTTTAAAACAAATTAAAATATTGGTATTGACAAACAAATAAAATACTGGATCATACTAAGAGATTCTTACACCTGACTTTTGTGTTAATATAGTGAAATATATTCATATTGCTACATTACTTTTTTTTTACTGACACAGCTGTAGATTTTAAACCAGCTATTTCTTAAGATTTAAAAACAAAGAATTTTTAAAAAAGCATTCATGTAGATATAAAACATCTTTAGTAGAAACAATAAAATACCTGAGCCATGCTCTTTGTGCAAACGCAGGAGTTTTGCATCCTCGTCATATGTAAAGTTACTAAAATTGATGTTTGGAGCTAGACAATTGATATACCTAAAATAACAATCAATAGTCTTTTTAAAAAGAAATATTTTGTTAAAAAAAGGGATAGCTATTGCAGGGGTGAAATTAAAAAATTAAGAATTTGTACAAGTATAGGAAATCTCATGTTGAATTAAAGCAGTATTACCTATCTCTACACTGCAGCATGTTGCGAGTTCCAATAAATTTTGCGATTCTAGACCAAGATGGTCCAAACACTTCCAAACCTGCGAGAAGTTTCTGGAAAAAGAAATGTTAACGTAGATTTTTAAGAATGTTGCCCTGATTTAGAGATATATACTGTTAGATATACAAGTAGAGCTGTTTCAGCTACCGATTTTTCTAGCAATGTTATAGTGACTGTTTACATCTAAGGCAGTTATTTAAAAACTAATAGGATAAAATAACATCTCTAAAATATCATAGCAAGAACATTTTGAATAACCAAGTGAAATTTAATAACATTCCCTATTCAAATCATCTGCAACTTTGTTTTCATAATACCACTGAAACTACACAGTGATTGCCATTTTGGCCTTCTCCATTTACAATACATTCTTACACTAAACAAAACAGGGTTGACATGTTTTTTTATAAGTCCACTACCCATGATTTTGCTTAGGTTAAAAAAACCTTGCCATAAACCACCGGTTAAAAGCCACTTTGGCCGGCACTCATTCTTACATTGAACCACATCTGAAACTACTTACACCATCCTCTGGAGCTCATTACATTCTTAGATTGAACCACAGCTGAAACTACTTACACATTACATTCTTACATTGAACCACAGCTGAAACTACTTACACCATCCTCTGGAGCTCATTACATTCTTACATTGAACCACAGCTGAAACTACTTACACCATCCTCTGGAGCTCATTACATTCTTACATTGAACCACAGCTGAAACTACTTACACCATCCTCTGGAGCTCATTACATTCTTACATTGAACCACAGCTGAAACTACTTACACCATCCTCTGGAGCTCATTACATTCTTACATTGAACCACAGCTGAAACTACTTACACCATCCTCTGGAGCTCATTACATTCTTACATTGAACCACAGCTGAAACTACTTACACCATCCTCTTCCTGAGTCCAGCGTCCATGATTCTGTTTAGGGTCAATCTTAATGTACCTGTAGCTGCACTCTTTAGGACTTCTTGAATCCATTAAAGATGCAGCTGATAAGCAAACATAAAATAAAAATGTAAAGATCAAAAGATGAAGATCATCAACTCAATCTTGTGGTATTCATTTGGAATAAGCAGAAATTTTTTTTTATATATTTTTTTATTGTTAAGAAAATGAGTATATTGACAATTTTAAATCATTATCAGTTATTTGACAACTCTTTCAAAGTAAGAGCAAAAAATGAAATTTTTTACGAAATTTATTCTGGAAAAAATAAACAGACCTTGACGCCAACTGAAGAATCCAAGGACGTCTTTAACGTGGTTACAAACAGTGAGAAGTTTGGCATCTTCTTCCTCAGTCCACGGTCTAAAGGTACACAACATCAATCAATTATGTGCTCTCAAAATCAAACTGTTGCACACACAACACAAACATTCACATACAAATCTTTTTACAAAATACTTTTATATGCAGAAAAAGTACACCTCCACACTGTATAAATAACTTAATAAATTTACATTTAACCCCTAAATTATTTGAGCAGATTTTCTCTCATCATGATGACACTGAATTTAAGGTATATTGTTGTTTTTAAATTTGGAAAAAAAATTTATGCTAATTTGTAATGTCAGGCACTATTGAACCAAACAGTAATTTAAAAAATTGCTATCCGGGTCATTTTACTATTATTACTAACACATATTTCTCTAAATATCCATGCACAAACAATATAATATCACAAACTAAACATGGACATGCAAGGAGATGTAGACTCAGTTCAAGAAAACTATAGTTTTAGTTGTAACACCCTACATAATTATGAAAGGACTTCCTCAATGTGTATAATTAGCCTTAGTTGTCCCCGGTAACGCCCTTTTCGTTTACTCCTATTCAAGGTCAACTAATAAAGACAAATTTTATAACCTGAAAACTCACCTTGATTTTAGCTGAGGGTTCAAATTAGACTGATAGTGATTAAAGCATTGGAATGGTGTTCTATCCGTCTGTAAAGAGAGAACATTTTTAAGACTACAACTTGTGTACACTGATGTGTCATCAAATTATGGAGTTAAAAACATCTTTAATCAGTGAATGGGACAGCATGGTCATACAGTACAGCTCACAGCTGCTAATCCAAATGTCTTGAGTTCATATCCTGGTCCAACAAGATCTGATGAGTACCTGACTCACATTAGGGAAAGTAAAGGTGGACGGGCATAGTGCTGGTCACAACAACCACTCATATTTCAGAGGTCACAGAAATAGGCAAATTATTTCATCTGCTCCATGGACCACAAAGTTGGGAAAGGGTTATTTTTTTTCTTATCACAGCGTGGTCAAGCATGTCATTGGCATCTCTCATGCTCTTGCTCTAAGTCTTTAGGCCACCCAAGCCTGAATGGTTACCTGACTCATTATAGATTGTGTGAGATAATGAGACAATCTCTTTATGGAATGGCCAAATATACTATAGATGAACCCTACTTTTGATGCCCTTATGTCAGATCTAAAACGATACTTAACTTATAGTTATTTTATTACAGGCTTATAGTTTATTTTATTACGGGCTGATAGGTTAAGTAATTACAGGCCATCAACTTCAATATAACTGTATGTTTGTAAGAAACCAAAGATAAGCATACAACAGTTACTAACTATGCATTTAATTTCCAATTTTCTATATCATACCTTGTTTTAAAAAACATTTATACATTGCACTTTTTAGATAAATGTTGAAGAAATAACAAAAAAATTAATTAAAACAGAAAATTTATGCATAAACATGGCAGTACATTACCCCAAGATCTGAAGCTATTTTATCCCAATCTCCGCCTTTAGATTTCGCGACAAGTTTTTTAAGCCTTGCTTCCTCATCTCTTTTCCATGGCAACCTGTTGACCTTTGAGCTTAGCTGGTGATCCCAGGCCTTCTGACAGTTGATCCAAGTGGTATCAGCACCAAACTATATTTAGAAACAGTATTTCGTTGGTTATCTTACAAAATTTACACCATTTGATTAAGTAATGGCATTAACTATTGTTAGAAAATGGATATCATATAATAATACAAAGTATGTTTTAATTATTCACACAAAAAATATCTCACTTCTTTTGACATAATATACATTATACATTACCTAAAGATATAAAAATTCAACTGTAAGCTATTTTCACTTACATTCTGTTTAGAAATTTTCATCCAGTCTATCTTTTCAGAATCTACATTGAGCAGCACTTCATCCTCAGAAATATTCCTAGAATTTGTAAATCAATGATATTATTCGTATGATAAAAAAATCTTATAAAACGATACCTTTTTTAAAAAAAAAATAGCAATTTAGAAAAAATATAATTAAACAACGGCACAACAACAAAAAAGTATCCAAGAATTTCCGTGAAATAAGTCCGTCTAGAATACGTAAGTCAATAAAACAACTAAAGACTTAACCTCAGCATTAGGTACTATGGATACCCAAGAACTTTTAAGACAACATATAAACAAATATGATCAAAAATCTACTTACTGTCTTTCTTTCATGTCTTGCTCCAGCCGAATGATTTCTTCTTGACATTCTTTCAATTCTTTTCTAAGAGTAAATAAGCAAATCATTTACATTAAATTTATTCTGAATATGTTTACAGTATTTCAAATATTTAATACAAAATCTATGCTCTCAGTGTAATAAACAATAACATTAGATAACTAATAAAAACTAATAAAACAATACAGTTCATAAACTTACTCTTTTTCTTGTGCAGACTCCTCCAGTTGTCTAATCTTTGCATGTATTTTTTTCAACATCTTTAGAGTGACTTCCCCTGATTCAGACATACTGTTCTCATTTGATTTTTCTATTGCCATCTCTCTCCTTATGTCCTCCAGCTTTGAAGTGCAGCTATCACGTTTTGTTATTGTTGCTTCCATTCTGAACAATGATTAAATAAATAGCAAATTTTAAAAAAAGGAAAGTATTAAAATGTAAGACTTAGATAAAAAATTATAATGTATTATAAACCAGTGGCTTCACTAGTTTGGGTGTCATAGGTGCAGTGCGATCACTTAGGGTGTCAACCCACCCCCATCCACAATGTTGGATTTTATTATTTGTGTCACCCCTTTAAGTAGGCTTTTATTATTTGAGCTAGAAAAAACTTTGTGAAGTAAATTTTACAATTTTTCTATTGATGTCACCCTCTAAATGGTGTCACCCAGTGCAGACACCCCTGTGTATTATGTTACATCTCTGAAAGCCTAATATAAAAAAACTGGCATTCGCTTAGAAATATAACATCCTCTTTTAGTTTGGATTTACCTTATTTCCGTTTGATTGTAGTATAGTTTATCTCATTTAATTTTAGTGTTTTTAAGTGTATTAAATTTAGAGTAAACATGAGGTAGATTTTCAAGCTTTTAATCAGTATTAATATTTTTTATTTGAGACTTACAAAATGAAAGATTTAAAAAACAAATGTTTAATTAATGATACAATATTAGTAAAAAAACAAATGTAGTTACCTTAACATTAGAGGTTTTAGCAGAAGTTCACGACAATTTTCAATGACAGCTTTACGAAGGACAGATGTTTTTCTGACTAGAAAAAATTTGATAGTTCAGAATATTTATTTTGAGCTATTATAACGAGAAAATATTGTGTGTAAACATATAATCAAATGAAGGATAATTTAAGCCTTAAACACCAACATTATACATTCAAGAATGGCTTTAACTTTAAACACTTTACATTCAACTGATGATAATTTCAAATGTCATTTAATTATATTCCAGAATTATATAAATGACAAAATCTCCAAAGTATGATCAAATTAAAAAATAACTGCTGCAGGTAGGTATTGAGACTAAAACTCTGTGAAGACTGTCTCTAAGCACTAGTTTCTAAAAGATGTTATAAAAATATTGGAAAGAAAGAATTAAAATAATAAAATAGTGTTGTAAGGATTCAAGTCTTTAAATAAACCACTACAACAAGAACTTACATAGTGGCCTGGTGTCTCTCAAAGCTTCAATCAATGCTGTATCATAACCCATGTTCTGTTTCTTTTCAATGACATCTTCATTAGCAGGAGGGTACTTAAATACAAATCAGTATTGTAAGAAAGTTTTTATGACAGTAAATAGCCTAAATGATGGATTATAGTTTGGGAAAAATTTCAGTAAAGTTTGCTGGTTCACGATAAAAAATAAGTTTGGATTTTAATAAGGAGCTTCTTCTTCTTTGATCTTAATTATAATGATGGACGGGATTTCCTCCAACACAATTAAGTATTACAAGTCAACCTGTTGACTCTGATTTTAGCCTTCTTTTCTTTCTGGATTTGCTTCCATTGGCTTTGTCCATCCAAGAAATAACTACAAGTTAATAGTTGTTTAATTTAGAAGTTTTCTCTCCTAGATTGGTTGCTGTCTCCAGATATCGAGCCTCACCTGCCCGGGGGTTCAAACTCTGGTCTTTTTGGTTTCCAAGCCGACCACACTGACCATTTATAAGGAGTAATTGTTAACTTATTAGAATAGCAATCAAGTTAAAATCCCTTATTTGATAAGTAATTTTACTTACTGACACAAGGTCTCTAAAGTACGGAGCTCTGAAAGTTGAAAAGGAAGTTCCTTTGGCAGCTGTCTTTGAAGTATCAGAGGTATCTGCATCTAGTTGTTCCTGTAAATAGAGTTCTTAAAAAATAAACTACAGCACAAACTACACAGACAAAAGAAAAAATTGGCTAAAATGAGGTACAATACTTCCTTTTAATAACAGAATTGTTAATTTTATTTTTTTAAAAACCCAGAAAATAATTGAATTACACAAGACATTTATTTTTTATTGCTACACATCCCAGAAATTATGACCATGATTTTTAAGAGTTAAAGAAAAATGAAGTTCATTGGTAAAAACATATAATTGTATGGCAACAGAAGTGTTACTCTTTGAATACCACAAGCATTTTTAATCATCTGACAAAAAAAAATTTAACAGGAATTTTATTATATCAAAATACACAAATTCCAAATCGTGTTTTGGTGGATACTATAGTGATTTTTACAAGTTTTAGCGAGTTAATTAAAAATAATATTTCTTTCTGCTTACCAATTTTTCTTTATTTCTTTCTAAGGCCTCTTCAATGTTTTCAATGTAACGGATAAGCTGTTCTTGCAGAGCTTTATTTAAAAGCAGAGTTTTTTGTGGACATGACTCTCCTTCAGCATAATTTACATGTGGCGGGAGACCAAAAACTGGCTTTGATTCATCATCATCCTGGATCAATTCAGTGCAATACAGTATTTTAAACAATTAATGAAATTAACTAATTCTAATTAGAGACAGCTTATATCAGCAATTGATCAATAAGATCAAGGAATATAATTGATGATAAAGACCAATAATTAATTATTCAATTACAAAATCAATGTTTTTCTTTCCTGTTATAATAATATATTATTACTGTTTCTAAGTAATTAAAAAAAACAACTAACTTATAACCTTTACTAAATCAAACTAATGCTACCGCCACACATATACTCACCGCTGTGTTACTATAGCTCTGTGACGCATAGCTTGAAGACACTGATCTAGCAGTAACTAAATAGGGAGCAAAAATTGACACTTTTCAAATTTAAATTAATAGTATAATCACTAGTTAGTACTGGAGTATTTTTCATTACAGAGCTCAACAACAGACGTCCAAAAAAGAGGTGTTACATTGTAAGTAGTAAAATACATGTCAGCATTGAACTAGCCTCCATGCTGATATTACTTTACTACTAATGACACAACACAAATGTTTTCCATACACAGATGACTTCATTGTTAAGCCCTGATTGGAAAATAAGCAAACATGAAACAAATTTTTTAACAAATATGACAAGATTTTGAGTAAATTAACACCTTTAATAATTTATATTTTATATACCAAGGTGCGGTAACACTCGACTACATTTACATTAAAATTTCAACAGTCAAATAAACAATGTATTGCAGTAACGAATGTTTACAAAACTCAACAAACATTACCCGGATAATTTATGCAGCTATACTGAGATTACACAAACTACAGTACTGACACTAAACTGCTACTAAACGTCTACTACAAACTCACTACTATCCTGATATGAGTAACTGAATACTTTTTTTGGTAATCTATCGTTTTGGGTACGTAAAATCGCCCGCGATTTGTAATGTGAAAAACAGGTGACTCCTTAAATTTTAATAATTATTTCACATTTTGAGGAGGATTTATGTTTTAAAAAATTCAAAAATGTTTCCTTGATTCATTTAAGTACCTGTTTTTAAACAATTGAATTAAAACTTTTCCGTAATTAATGAAGACTAGCGATGTTTCCAACAGATGCAACCATGCTCATTTACTACAGCAGCCATCTTGTCTAAGTTTTATTTTCATAAGCTTTTAGCGCCAGATTCAGGGGGAAGCCACTCTATTTTACAAATGGCTGCTGTTTATATAGCAAATCTTGCTCTCAGACACTGCTGTTTAAAGTTAATTTCTGGCCTATATCGATATATTTAGCCATTGATTTAGGTTTATTATTCATTTATCTATAATATTTGACACAAACATATGACAATATAATTCTATTAAAACCTTGACAATGAGGTAACGTTTTCGTACATAAATAGCCGCGGGCGATTTTACGTACCCAAAACGATAGATTACCCTTTTTTTTTTTACTGATGACTTGATTACAGTTTTGAGTTTACAGTAAGCATTCCATTAGGCCCATGTCTTAAGTGCTTTCATGAAGACAAAACAACTTACGTGTTCGATCAGATGCATCGTTTTCTAAATCAATCAACAACTGTTCCCCTGCTTCTTCTGCTTCTTCTTCTTCAGAGTCATAATCCCAGTAAAGATGAAGCTCTTCTCGAAGTTTTTCTTCATCTTCAAGAAGTTTGCTTCTTTCATCATTGACAATATAATTACTTTGATCCATTTTAATAATTTAGTTTATTTCAATTGCAGCATCTTACACAAAAAATATACAAAAAAGTAGGGATGTTATTTTGTAATCTAGACTTGGATCTGCGTACAGCAGACTCGCAAAAATAAGACAGCCTTTTCATCGACTTCTCACTTGGTTCGTTTCAGAAACGAAATATAGAAGATCTAGCCTAAATTACATTATAAGAGTTACCTTTCTTACACCGGCTGCCAGAGCATTTTTTTGCATTTTAGTTAATTCTAGCTACATCTTTTACCTTATTTTCTTTCTTATTTTATAATACTTTATTAACAAATTATTATGTTCATTGTTATTATATTATTATGTTCTAAAATAGAATAAGTTACTCTATTAGATACAAAGAATTTATAAAAAAATTTTTTTATTATGCTCTAGAATAAACATGTAAAGTGTGCAAAATACCTTATTACAAAGGAAAGCAATGCTCTGTAGATATTCCTTTAGGGAAATGACTAGAATAAGAAAATGGTTGCCTACTTTTAAAAATGTCACACTATTTTGTCGGGGGTTTACACCCCCTACCATTATGACAGAAAATCAGACCGCCCCTCACTTAATTGACATCACATTGTCAGGGGCACCAAAAGGTTAGGTTAGGTTCGCCCCTCCTGGGACATAGGCAACTGACAAGAGCTTTCCAGGCATCTCTGTCCTGGGCTAGTCTCTTCAACTGTCCCCAGGTGTATCTAATCTTCTTGGTGTCTTCTTCCAGGTCACGTTTCCAGATCTTTCTTGGTCTGCCTCTCCTCCTCCTGCCCTGTGGATTCCAGGTGAGGGCCTGTCTTGTTATGCTGGATACAGGCTTCCTGAGTGTGTGGCTAATCCATTTCCATTTTCTCTGGAGGATCTCTTCTTCAGCTGCTAGTTGATTTGTCCCAGTGGCGTAGGAAGGGGGGGGGGGGTTAGGGGGGGGTCATAACCCACCCCATAGACCCCTCGGTATATATATATAGTATGAGGGGGGTGTAAATCAAAAGTTTGAGGGGGGGTGCTAATCGAAAGTTTGAGGGGGGGTGCAAATCAAAAGTTTGAGGGGGGTGGGGTGCAAATCGAAAGTTTGTCCCCGGGTAAAAATTTGACCCCCCCCCCCCCCATGAGACAATCCTGGCTACGCTACTGATTTGTCCATTGCCATAATACCTAATTTCTGATAGTTTTAGGCCAGGAAATTTGCAGGTAGAATTACAGCCAGTCAAAGTTAAGAAAATTAATGGCCACAAGACTTTGTACATTGATTTAACTGTTTTCTAAATTCTACACCAGGCAGTCTAGCATCAAAATAAAAACTGTTACAGGATAGTGACCGATAAAAAACACCAAATAACCTTTTCAACTAGTGGGGGGGGGGGGGGGGAGGGGGGGGACTTTCACCAACACCAATAACTACTATTATAAAAAACCAGCAATTAAAAAAAAATTAAAAGTGCAACTTTCTGAGCCCAACCCCTTTGTCATACATCATCACAACCATCCAACATCCAAACCCACCCCCCCCCCCACTAGAAAGTGTGGGTGCACTGTCAAAACGGCCTGGGACAAATCGGCCCCGTTAATAAGACCCCGTCAAATCGACCCCCCGACAAAACGACCCAGTCAAAAAAAGCCCCGTCAAAAGGGCCCCGACTTATTGGCTCCCGTCAAATTGTCTTGTCTCGCTACATATCGGCTCCCGACAAATGGACTCCCGACATATTGGCTCCAAACAGATAGGCTCAGGACATATTGGCTCCCGACAAATGGGCTTATGAAAAATGGGCTCACAACTTATTGGCTACCGACAAATGGCTCCCGACATATTAGCTTCCGAAAATTGGGCTCTCGACGTATTGGCTTCCGACAAAATGACTCCCGAAATATTGGCTCCAGACAAATGAATCGTATGACCACTATTGGCATAAAAGTAACCATTTTCTCCTACCCTCACTACCACTATAACGTCTTTTAAATGCCTGAATGAAATAGTTTTTTATGAACCAACATCAATTCACAAACAAATCAAGCCCTTAACAGCTAAATTCCACCAATTCTAAAATTTTGATAATGTTTAACTTACAACAATAAAGATCTGTTGCTTAAAAACGAGCTAACTCTAAAGAATATTGATGAAGGGGGCCCACTGGCTGGTATCATATTAAATGAGATTGTTTTGCCGGGAGACTACAGAAACCATATTGTCAGTGGTCCTTTAGTCGGGAGCCAAATTGACAGGAGCCTATTTGTTGTGAGCCAAAATGATGGGAGCCTATTTGTCTGGTGTCATAATGACGGGGGCCGTTTTGTAGAGAAATTAAATGACGGGAGCCTGTATGTCGGGGTCCATATGTCGCTGGCCCTTTTGACAGGGTTTATTTGACGGGGCTCTTATGTCGGGGCAGATTGTCGGGGTTGTTTTGACGGGACCGTTTTGCCGTGTGACATCAGTGATGGATGACTCCTATGTTCTTTTCTCAATATTCATTTTTCAAATGAGTTTATTTAAAACAAATGGGTAAATCAGGCACCTGTTCCTGCTGTTTAATTAAAAAAACTATGACGATACAAGTTTTGGATGACAGTTTATGGTTTATCTTTATTTATTAAAAGTGTCATGACTTGTACATAAGAAATAACTGCTACAAAAAAAAATATAATATATACATATATTAAAAAAATACTTTTATTGAGATAAGATCAACCAGATTGAAAAAAAATATATTAACACTTCCTTGAGTCTGTAGGCTGTCCAAACTGTGATGGGTACCTGACTCACGTTAGGGAAATTAATGCAGCTGGACACAGTGCTGGTCACACTACACCCTTGTCCGCAGAGCAGGGGCATAGCGAGGGGGGGGGCGGGGGTGCGGACCATACCGGGTGACACCATTTAGGGGGGTGATACCAAGGCAAAAAATAGGTTAATATATAGAGAAAAACTTGAGGGGGGGGGGAGGGAGGGTGCAAATCGAAAGTTTGAGGGGGGGGGGGGTGCAAATCGAAAGTTTGAGGGAGGGGGGTGCAAATCGAAAATTCGAAAGTTTGTTCCCGGGAAGGGTCGCTACGCCTCTGGGGGGTGACACCATTAAGTCCCGCACCGGGTGACACCCGACCTCGCTACGCCACTGCCGCAGAGGTAATTGAAACAGATGAATTCTACTTCACCTGCCAGTTGGACACAAATTGGAAAAGATGATGATGATATACACAAAATGATATGTAGATTAAAAAAAAGTTTAAAACATTTTTATATCACAGAAAAATCAACATTGGGTGAAACTAGTAGAAAAAAAAGGGAAAAATCCATAGAAAATGAAATGTGTGAAAAACAATAAAATTGATCTAATGCAACATGAATATATCAAAATTCTCTTTTTAAATGTCATATATTTATATATTACAGTATGTATAATAAAAAGTAAATTTTTTGTCAACAGACTGGAAAATAAAGAACGACATTATAAGACCTACATACTAAAATAAAAAACATTTTGTTAATGGAATGTAAAAATAAAAATAGCCCCATACAGCAAGATTATCATTAACTTTTTACAGGTCCTATCAGTAGCGTAGCGAGGGGGGGGGCGGGGGGGGGGGGGGGACATATGTCCCCGGGCGCCGACCTTAGGGGGGGGCGCAAAATTGAAAGTTTGAGGGGGGGGGGGGGGGGTGCAAATGAAAAGTTCGAGGGGGGGTGCAAATCGGAAGTTTGAGGGGGGGGGGGTGCAAATGAAAAGTTCGAGGGGGGGGGTGCAAATCGAAAGTTTGCTCCCAAGGGGGCGCCAAATTGAAAGTATGTCCCCGGGCGCCGGGAAGGGTCGCTACGCCTCTGGGTCCTATCCTTTTATAGTACATTATCTGTAGTAAATAGAAAACAATTGAAAGACAATATAATAAGTTTAAAAGTTAATAAAGTTAATAAACACAGTTAAATATCCAGGAATTTGGCATAAGTAAAAACCAAAACAGGTTATAAATAATTTTATCATATTAACAGTATAATTGAGTAGCCTATATATGATATGCAAATGTTTTTATTTTATAACATTTATTTTTATAAAATGTAACTTGCATGTGGCTTCATAATGAAAAAAACCCCACATTTTTTCCCCTTTATCTTGTTGTGTTTAGTCAGAGATATGACTAAATTGACCTAAGATAAAGGGTTTGAGGTCTAATAGGTACTTTGTGATCGTGCTAAAGCATAAATGAAATGATTTAATTGAATTTTTTGCTGGATAGCTCAGAATTTCTAGTGTAAAATAGCTAATATCAATGAGCAGCTGTTATTACTATTACTATTAGGCCTACCTATTTTACTTTTCAACACCTGAAACACTTCTTCTGTAGTACAAGTGAATTTTGTTACTTTTTTCAAAAATCTTAAATAAACATAAAATTACCACAAAATGTGTTTTCTAGCATATAAATCTAAATCTATTTTATGGAATTAAAGAACAGAAAAAATATCCTGAGGATTACAGGGCAACAAAGTTCCTGAGCATTAAAGAACAAAGTTGAATATCTATTTTTATGATTTCAGAACAGAGCAAAACTTTGTTGATTAAAGTTCCTGAGGATTAAAGAACAAAGTTGAATATCTATTTGTATGGTTACAGAACAGAGCAAAACTTTGTTGATTTTTTCTCACTTTGTGACTTTGGTTCTGCAGTAGTGTATGTTTTAGTAGACCTAGTTGTTTCGTCTTTGGTATTTATGTCTACTAATTTAGTATTTGTTTCAGCTTTTTTATTTACTGATTGATTATTTGTTTCATCTTTTGTAAATACACCTAAAATAACAGTTCCTTGGTTCTCAGGGAAATCTTTTCCAATGGCATCATGTGGTTGCAGATCTGTTTCCTGTTTAGTCCTATTATTTTTCAGGTGTTGTGAAGAGTTATCCTTCTTGTTATCTCTTGTGTTTAGAGGAGTGGCTGCTGAGTCTCCATTTTGTTTTGTGTCTAGCAGAGGGTTTTCTATTCTGGTCACATGATACTGGGGGGTAAGCTTGACGGCAATCTGAAAGCAGGAGCATAAATGAAATACACAAAATACACTGTAGAATTGTTGCACCAGAAAATGTAGTTTATAACACAGTTTATTTGTGAAAGTGTGGTTAAGGGGAGAGCACTCAATGACTTCACGAGAAAATTTGAGATAATTTTTTAATGTCTCTGAGAGTCCATCCAGCTCTGAAGAGTGAATAACTCAAGTTGGGGAAACTTAAGAAAATTGAGCATACTAGTGAACACTCAATTGCTTCATATTCCTAAGTCAGTGTTACAAGTGAGCTTTATAATAGACCATCTCATCTGAAAGGGCATTTTACTTACTTTATTTCCATGGTAACTGTAATGTTTTTGACTAATATGTCTGTTCTTGTGACAAGTGACCATTGCATATAAAGGGATAATGTGGTTAGCACCATTTTACTTTACTTAACGTGAGTTAGATACCCATGGAAGCTGGGTGGACTCATGAATGTTCTATGGACTTGACACCAGGTTGTAACTCAGACTTCAGGTTAACAGTTATATGCAATACCATTCAACCATGCAATCTCATTATTTAAATAATAAATCACTATTATTTTAAATGTTACAAAACTATTTTTAGACTTTAAACTTTATTTTTTTTTAAAAATTATTTTTAGAATAAATATAATTTTTTTTCAAATAAATGAAAACTTTATAAAATAATATTCATATTGAGTAAAATAAAAATGTAATTAGGTAAACTCTTATAATTTATAAAAAAAAGGATTAACAATCATAAAACTTGTTTTCTCAACACTGACGAACCTCGTGTACCACTAGCTGGTCATCTTGTAACCCAGAAATATCATTGTCCAGTTTAACTATGTTGTCCAAACTACATGGAAGAGCTGCATCTACACCACTAGAAAGTTTAAAATAATTCAATTAACACAATAGCCCTGTAATTTTAAATAGAACAAATTTATACTTCATTGTTTCACATGCATATTTTTTTATTATATCAGTTTTTTTCTGAGATAAAATTTTTTTTTTGCTCAAGTTGTAAGGTAAGAAACACATTAAAACTTAGTGGGAAATATTTTTAGAGTAGACCTCAAACCAACGCTGAAAAAAATATCACAAAACTAATCCAGTTCACTGAGTAATGTAAAGTTTCCTTTTAAAACCTGACAGTCCATGGGTCAAGTGAAGTAGAGTTCACCTGATTCACTCTGCATATGAAGGGACAGTGTGGTCAGCCCTATGCCCAGCCACCTTTACTTTCCCTTATGTGAGTTCGGTACCCATCAGAGCTGAGTGAACTCAGGGACATTTTACTGACTCGAACCCATATTCAAACTTGAGACTTTAGGTTTAGCAGTCTAGGGCTCTACCGCTAGGCCACGCCATCCCACACTGATGGGTACCCAGCTCATAGTTTATGGAAGCTTATGTAGCTGTGACTTGTGCTGACCACAAAATCCTTTCATTAGCAGGAAGTCACAGATCTACAGGGTCATAGAAACTGCTTTAATTTAATACAAGTAACCATGGTACAACATGCGCAAACCTCCAAAAAATTATTTACAATTTTCCACGAGAGAGCAACCAGTAGAGTAGTTTTCAACATTTCTATAGAACAACAATAGGCGTCAGGCTAGGCTGCTTGCTCTCTCTCATCCTTTTCAATATCTACCTAGAAAGGATCTGGACTGATGCCTTAGAAGACCAAATTGGCTCAGTCAGCATCAGCAGACAGATTATTACAAACCTATGCTGATGACAGAGATGCCATAGCAGGTAGTGAAGGCTAGTGATTGAATTAGCACACCCATTGGACAGAATATCAACAACATATGGCATGGAAATCAATGTCGACAAGACAATGATCATAACCAACAACCCAAATGGCATAATGGCCAAAGATTGAAGGAAGTTCACGCATTCAAGTACCTTAGCGCCATCGTATCTTATGAGGGAACAAAGCAAGAAATACTTGCAAGAACTTCCCAAACAGCACTCAGTAAATTAACCCTTTAAGCGTGCGCCACTTGGCCTTACGTGTTATAAGTTATGTAACAGCAAAGCCACGATAGTGGCTTGGTGCGCTTTCAGGGTTAAGAAACACTTGGCGTGAAAAAAAGACTTCTATTTTTACTTCTATTGTGTAAGTTACCTTTGTGCCAGTACATAAACTGCATCATGCGCAGCAGCCGTCAGTGCCAGATTTTGAGAGGCCAGACAACGATATGTGCCAGCCATCCCATCAATGTCAACTTTATACTGAGGATTCTTGTTGCTGCTTGCTCGTTCTAACTGGCGCCACATGATGTCATCAAGGCTCACAGAGAAAGGCAGCATGTGAAAGTAGAATGGGACAGGAGCCTTGTGATCACACTGAAAATAAAATAAAAGGGCATGGTATTGAAACATTACAAAAAAATACAATGACCCTTAAATACTGTTGATAATCTCTCTTTTAAATTTTAATTCTAGGAAATGCTAAGTATAAAATTCAAAGACTAACCTGTATAAGATATATTATAGTTCTGTCTTTCACAGTCTTTTGTCTGCATAACACTGTGTGTAACTCTTCAACTAAAAGATGGGAAGTTATAAACTGGTCTGAGATAAAAAAGACAACTAAATCAGCTGTGTCTAAATGCATTCTTCGCTCTGATTGGTTGGTAGACTGCAGGTGACAGACCAATCCTGGGCATTCTTTCTTCATGATAGCAGCTGTTATTGCTGCCAGATTTAAGTGACCTGTTTCATAGCTGAATACAACCTCTCCTATAAAATATAACCAAAATAATGTTGTCGTTAGACTAGTAATCTTTAATCAGTAATTAAGTAAGCTCTAATTAGTAAAATAGTAAGCTATGATTAGTAAAATAGTAAGCTTTAATTAGAAAATAAAATATCAGCTCTATTTGTACTTAAGTAATGAACTCCACAATGAAAATCAAATATCTGACAAAAATTTTCAAATAATTTGAGAACTATAATTTAGAGTGTTGTAAAAAAAAACAACAAAACTCTACAGCATTAGCTAAACATCCTTTAATGTTTCAAACCTTTTAAGCTGTCCTTGGCTGCCATAACTTTTCTGACAACATGGCCTCCATCTAACTGAAATTTCTCTTTAAACTCCATTCCTCGTCTGACTTGCAGTTTATTCTTCAATATTTTTACATCTGGGCTCTAAAATAAATAAAATGTCAAAACTTTTATTCATAGGACAACGTGGTTACTTATTTAGGCATTTTTATAAAAAATCTACTCTGTTGTTTTAAATAGTAATTCTATACTTTTCAACTTAAGTTACTAGAACATTTTTAAAATTTCTGATATTAGTTTTCTGAGTGCTAAGAAAGTTAATAGAAAAAATTGTAAAACAAAAGGCAAGCGGTTAAGAAAGCAGCAATTAAAATCCTTATAAAAAAATGATTCAGCCTGACACCAACTTTTCTAGCTGAACAAACATGTTCAAAATTTAACACGTGGCTTATGCAAGAAAAAAATAAATTTACACGTGGCTTCTCTTTAGCTTTCAAGGCCAGGTGAACAAGTTCATCTGCCAGAAGGTCAAGGTTGCCATTTTCCTGTGTTACACTAATACACGGCAGTGAGGTGAATCTTCTGGGGATTGTCTTTAATTCTTCACTGAGGACAGGCACCAGATATACAGAGTCCTGAAAAGATAAAAAGTTTTTAAAAATATTTTAGAATATTTTTTTTCATTTAAAAAAATTTGATGTAAATCTTCTTCTAGGGATCGATTTTAATTCTTCACTGAGGACAAGCACTAGATAAACATTCCTGCAAAAATAAACTAATAATAAATTGGAATATTTTTTGTTTTTAAAAATATGATGTAAATCCTTTTCTACGGATTGTCTTTAATTTTTCAGTTAGGACAAGCACTAGATAAAGATTCCTGCAAAGATAAAAAGTTAATATTATTTTGGAATATTTTTTGTTCTAAAATGGTATAGGTCAAAGCTATTCAGACATTTTAGTTGAAAGGAAAAACCAGCATGACAGTGATCAGTTTCAAGTATTTGAAGTGTAGCTTACATTCTGATGATAAACTACTCTTTATAATGGATAGCACCTATCCTAAATAGGCAAATAATGAAAGTCAAACAATAGTTTCTGAAGCTCTACAACAACTCCCTTGGAGCAATGTAGCTCTTAATGAGGCAAATAATTTTACAATAAATGCAGCTGAAGTATTACTCTTACTGCAAACTGTCTGGCAAAAGTTATGTAAACTCTTCATTGTGTGTAAGGAGAAGATAAAAAAGTGGTACCAACAGCTGTAATGTTAACATACCCTTGCAAACAGTCTGGCCAGAGCTATGATGAACTCTTCATTGTGTGCAAGGAGAAGATAAAAAAAGTGGTACCAACAGCTGTAATGTTAACATACCCTTGCAAACAGTCTGGCCAGAGTTATGATGAACTCTTCATTGTGTGCAAGGAGAAGATAAAAAAAGTGGTACCAACAGCTGTAATGTTAACATACCCTTGCAAACTGTCTGGCCAAAGTGAACTCTTCATTGTGTGTAAGGAGAAGATAAAAAAGTCGTACCAACAGCTGTAATGTTAACATACCCTTGCTAATTGTCTGGCCAGAGCTATGTTGAACTCTTCATTGCATGTAGAAGACTGTATGTAGGGTGAAGATAAAAATGTGACCACACAATGAGACTTGTCCACAGCTTCATACAGGGCTTCCTGCCACAGATTGCCTGGTGGTTATAAATAGAAACAGTAAACCAACCTTTTTTTCTCTGCTAAACTCATGTGTTTTGATATTTAATATAAGCCTTATTGTCCACGTGTGAAACAACATTTGTTTCTTAAAAAAAACTCACATATTTTGATGTTCAATGTGAACCTTACTATTTACATGCAAATATAATATAAAAAATATAAATGTTTTAGCTAATGAAAAATTGTACCCAATTTATTAAGAAATTTTGATTTGTTTTTTTTGTTACTTTTCTTCTGAAAAACCAAAAATATAAACATCATTTGTTTTTATTTTTAATTTTGAATAAACCTTTTTCTTATTTATTTGACTGTTTAACCAGCATTGCCTGTATTGTCTTGTAAAACATGACATTTGTTTTTTATATATATATATGTTACGGTCAAAGCCCGAAGTGCGGCCAATGCTAGGATTGGCCAATCCGCGCATTGGCCGGCTCTCTTGGCCAAAGCCCGAAGAACTTAGCACTAAGATCGTATTGCGTACATTGGCCGGCCAATGTGCGCACTGGCCGGTATGTCCTGGCCAATGTTCTATCTAGACTAAGTTGTGATCGCATTTTCATTATTCTGGGTGCGTTTCATTGAGAGTAACGTATTGTTTAGCTCTTGTTTATATAGCATTCTATATGCAAGGCGACATTGATCAAAAGGGCCGTCAGACCATGAGACAGACTTTAGCAGATGGCTGTCAAAAGAAAAAAATGTAAATCCATGTGTAGTTTCCATATATGGGCTCTCGATAAAATATATACTGAGGAAGATCTTGAGAACATTGAACAAGAAATGGAGGTTGCCATAAATGCAACGACATCCTCAGCTAACACATCTACTGCCGTGGCGGAACGTCCAGACCAGTTGCGTGACAATTATGTGGCCAACAGATTCTGTATAGTTTGTGAAAAACATTGTAGTGCAGCTCATTCTTTTGGATCCTGTGGCAACGATGTCCATGCTATTTGTGGAATACCCAATGAAGCAGACGAAGGGTACGTAGGGAACATTACCTGCTGATTGTGTCACAACAAAAAAGACATCATGGAACACAGATCAGCAGCTCATACTGGCTTGCAAACTCAAGGTGCTAAGATGCTTAAAACATCAAATACAAAATTTAAAGATGGTGAAGTGGGTGACAATGTACGCATCCGTTTTCCAGATGTTGACAGAGGTCACGGTGATCCCCGAAGCGTGATTGCAGTTGTCATGAGCGTCGAGGGCGGTTTCTACAAATTAGGAACTGAACATGGTGTTCTAAAACAACTGTATGCTAGAAGTGAGTTTTCAATTCTTCACGAAAAACTGCTCTTATTGTCGTCAGTTGGCACTGAGGAAAAATCACTACGAACCATTGCATCTTCACAATCATTGACTGGGGGCCAAGGCTACACTCACTGCAATTGCACAACTAAGTGCACAACAAATCGCTGCAAGTGTAAAAATAATAAGCTGCTATGTAATTCTAAATGCCATAAAAGTTCAACTTGTTGTAACAAATGATGATATTGATTGATTGAGACTATAGTACAATAAAAAATGTTTCTGTCATTTACTTTAATTAATAATCGATAAAGACTTAATTTCAAGATCCTTACGGCATTAAAAAAAACACCAAAATCTGCTCATGATCTTCTAATTCGGACTTTGGCCGGTCGTCCCTAGCCAGATGATCTTCTAATTAAGACTTTGGCCGGTCCACCATGGCCAGTCCGCGGACTGGCCGGCCAAAGGCCGAAATCAAGAGCTATTTCAGACTTTGGCCGGTCCATCATGGCCAGTCTGTGGATTGGCCGGCCAAATGCCGAAAACAAGCAAAGTTTCGGACATTGGCCGACCTATGGGAGGCGATATTGGCCAATGCGCGGATTGGCCGGCCAATCCTAGCATTGGCCGACTTCGGGCTTTGACCGTAACATATATATCTAATAAAATGAATAACATTGACCAAGAAAAGCTAAAGGCATTAAAAGTAAATTTGCCCACCTGCTTTCAATTCATTCACATCAAAAAATATATTCAATTCAGGATTTTTCTTTTGTAATATTTGAGCCAATTCTTTGGGCTCTTTAACATGCCGATGCGAGTAGGAAATGAAAATATCGTAAACAATATTCTTGTTCTTGGCTAGCTTAGCTTTGTCTGTGTCATCAATATTGGAATCTACGCCAGTGTCAATGTGCTGATGCTTCACTGAGTCTATCACATCAGCACAGGCTTTGTTTAAAACTTGTTCAACATTCTCTCCTGGTTTGAGACATCTGAGGGTAAAAAAAAAGGTTTAAAAATAAACAAGTAAAATAGGCTATTGTAATAAAGCCCGTTGAAATTTTAACATTTATTCTGTCTGGTTACAACATGAAAATACAAAATGCATTTACTTCGTTTCTTAGTTCTGCTAGTATCTCTGTTAGGAATATGATTAAGGCTAGAATTAGGGCTAAGCTCAGGAAAACAACCATGATTAGTAAAATAGCCACAATTACTATCTGGTGATGTTTTTTAAGTTAACAAAGTCAATCATTGGGCAGATAAAGTAGAGTTCATCTATTTCATTTTTACACTGGCATATGAAGAGAATTGTGTGGACAGCACTATGTCCAGTTGCTAATGCCTCTCATGTACAAATTGAAGCTTTTGAATAAGCAATCAAAAGCTCTACCATTCAGTGATGTCTTCTCTATATTCACAAGTATTTTGTTTTCAGACCAGTTTATAAATATTCTTCATGGTGATTTATTTGGCAGATATTGGTACAACTTTAAAAATATAATTTGGCTTAAAATTTTAAAATCTTTAAGACCATAAATTATAAAAAGAACAACTAATTTAAAAAAAAGGATTTAATTGAAAAATCTGCCACTTGTTAAATTGACACAGAATAGAACAGAAATGGTGCTTGGCTTGAAACTGAATAATTAATTTTTTAAAATAAAAAAATGCTTTAATTAAAATATGCTTATTGGCGATAAAATGTGAAAGAAATGTATGTCAAATGACATTAAATAACAGGAAGAATTTAATTTATAAATTTAGTGTGCTTTCGGAGACTAGAATGTAGAAAACATGTATACGCACCTACAGTCTAAGTACTGCACAATGCTCATGTAGCTTGGAATGGATGATATAGTTTGCATGTAGAAAGGTAAAACAAGTTCCTCTTTTCTCAGCCTATTGCAGCAGAGGGCAATGTTAAATTGCTCTAGACATTCTTTTGATGCGATGTAGGCTGGAGTTAATATCACAATAATTCTGGCAACAAATAAGATAATTTTGAACAACAAATTATATTTTGTTTTAAATCAGCTGTGGTAATTATTTTTAGCTTTGCTTGTATGTAAAACAAATACACTGTTTCGTTAAATTTATTGAAATCTGAAAATTACGACTGGTAGCAAAACAAAATAAGTATAATAAAATATACCAGATGAAATATTACAAGACAGTAATCTCAAAACATTAGGTAAATGTATAGCTTATAATTTTAAGGTAGCATTTAACAAAATTTACATAAAGTACTTGCTTTTTAGAACTTTTCATAACATTGTAGATCTGCCTCTGCCAAACATCATTGTGGTTGAACTCAAAGATGTCGGAATGGATGCTAATATCTGAGCTGTGCTTCAGCAGATTTTTTTCAACATTCTTGGCGAGATGTTCGTCTTCAGGTGCATAAGATAAACAAACATCACACAACTTACTGTCCATTTCCTGAAAAAATATGTCACTTATTGATTGCAGGTAAGGCATATTGAAGCTTTTATTTTATCCTAACTTTAACCTTAGCCTTGACTTAGTAATACTGGCCTCTAGAATAAAAATTAATTTCAGCTTTTATAAGGCATTAAAACTAATATTAACAAAAATGCTGATATTTTTAAACTTTAAATTATAAATCATACAAATCGGTATGATAAAATGAAGTTACTAAAAAAAAACAACAAATGATGTTTCAATGATTCATCAGAATAACAAAAGGATTCAAAAGAAAGCAGTGAATAATCCTAGTGCAATTGAGTAAATCTAGTTTTTACAAGCTGAAAGAACAAAAGCTACATGGTTGGGTACAGTGAAATGAAGACTGCTGTATGTTTTCTATAAAACCCATCACCAACTGATCATGTACCTGCCATCAAAGATCTCAGCAAGCATGACAAAATATCAACTTAGGGACCAGAGAACTTGCTTTGATAAAGCCTGATGTGCTACACATCTGAGGAAATAAGGCAAGGCTATAAAAGCACTGGCCCAAAGGAAGATGAAGGTGCTAAATAAGAATCTACCCCCCCCCCCCCATGATATATTACCCCCTGCCAGGGACTCCTTCTTTTCCACTATGACATTCCATATCATGCTTTAAATTACTAATCTACTAAGAATTAAATATGAGTAAAAAATTATTAATAGAAGTTATTGGTGCAGATTCTCTCTCTTCAAAATAACACTAATATCCTTTGCTACTGTACTTGATGCACTCAAATTTCCCTTACACATGAACTCATTGAAGAGAAAAAAAAATCCATGATTGGATTAATTTTATTTTCCAGAATAGAATTTTACATTTTTTCAGATGATAAAAAAAAGGAAGTACAGCATTATAGAGGGTAAATTTGGAAATGACAGAAAATTCAGTACAGCTATATGGTAGGGTTAATTACCGTCATATTCTCCAATTCATTCCACTTAAGCTTCAGCTCACTGAAAAGCTTCAAGCAATTTGCATCTCGTTCTGACAGCTTTAGCGGATTGGTTGAGTACAAAACTATCTTCAAACACTGGAGAGGTAGCCCAGCCCTGATCCATTCACATGCAGCATTCACCATTCCTGCCATTACTGTTGTATAAGACTGGGCCTGTAATATATAAATATTTCAATCAAAACAAGAGAGTAGATTGTTAAATATTGCATTATACTGCTGATGTGAATTTATAGGCTAATGCCATGGAAGTCCAAGCAAAGTCCTAGGCAGCAAGTTGAGAAAGGCCAGATGTTGCCCATGCATCAGGTCAACTCTCTCCATACAGCTGATGGACCCAAAAGATTACTATTCATAAGTAATAAGTGTATATATATATATATATATATATATATATATATATATATATATATATATATATATATATATATATATATATATATATATATATATATATATATATATATATTTTAGGTGACTATTTACAGAATTTCACATTTAATCGGACCCACATGTTTGTGTAGTTAGAATTATATTAAAGATAATTTAAATAATTAAAACCTAGTACTAAACCTAAGAGTTAATAATAATACATGCTATATCAGATATACAATTAACAATTATGTATGTAAGGCTAGTCAATAATAATCAAAATGTCATGTTTGGAGATTTTCATACTACTTAAACAATTGAAATATTTTTAAATCATAAAAATTGACTTCTCTCAGCACTGTAAAAAGCATGTTAAAACTGCCATATTTGCAAATGTTTAAATGAGGTATGTTTAAATGTGTGATGACATTGTGCATGGTAAAACATGGTTCCATGTCTGATTAACCCTAGTCCCATCTTTCCCTATCTATTATCTCCCTTTGTGGTGAACAATGTTAAATTTGACTGTGGATGTATCGGTGAGAATGGCATCATGTACTACACAGCTAACCAGGGCTATTTAAACCCAACCAAAGGCTAACATTATGTGTATGGTCGCACTGCCTCTGGTTGTGCGGGTTTACATATTTTTCTTTTTAAAAAAAATGCTTACAGGCCTGAATGCTACTAGTCCATGGTTAGGACATAGGCATCTAGGCATATAATCAACCATGGGTCCGATCAGAACACACACACCAGTCCTAGACAAGGTGAATCCTAGATCCAGGACCTGATTAGATCATTGGCAACATCTGGTGGGCCATCTATACAGTTTTAACATTTTTTTATAAAACTTATCATATATAAACTTTGTACTGGTTATTATAATAAATTTTACATTAAATAATTCCTATTTTTTTATTTGCGTATTATAATTAAATGAAATAAATTGTTAATAGTTTCATCTTCATTCCTTGTGGAGCATCCTCTACATTGTACTTGGTATTGTTAATCTATATATATAATTCTCTTCATGGAGACCATAGAAAACACCACGCAGCTTAGCCACCACCCTCATCCCCATCTGTCAGGTGAGCTGTGGTTCACCCCGAATGTTTACAATCGTAGAGCCGGGTTAGTGATGGCTATTAGGGGCAGATAATTTAGTATTAAACTATTTGAAACAAAGGGGAAGTAACAATTTCTGATTGATCTTTTCTTTGTCTGTAAACGGCTGCTTTCACTGGGCAGGAGGGGGAGGGAGGGGGAGGGAGGGGGAGGGCGGGAGGGGGTAGTGTTGAATTCACACATTATGAATTGCTGATAAGCAGAAAATAAAACAACTAGATGGCGGCATATACTATGTCGCAGATCAGCTCGTAGTTTATAATATCAATACATTATTGCTGTAAAATTCATAACTGTCTTGAATAAGTCACCTGATTTCCTGTAGCCAAAAGGGGAGTTATCACACTGGACTCTTTACTGTTGAAGATAGGCATCATGGCCCGAAACATTTGGGAAAGCTGTTCTGTTAGCTTGCCAGAACCTCTGTCACTATGGATCAAAAAATGATTACAACAATAAAATTTGGATTGAAAATTACAAAAAAAAATATACAAAAAACATTATGAGAATGTTTTTGTCAGCATTAAATTTTAAAAAAAAACCTGTGATTCTTGATATAATTTAGTTAAAGAGAATTGAAAAAGTAACCAACTATTCAAAGCAGGCCAAGCGATTAAAGGGTAAATATGACTCCAGTTTTTGTGAAACCCAGCATGAGAAATGTGTTCGTAAATCTAGTTCCTTAGATGAGGCGAGATGTTTCACTGAAATGTTAAGATTCTGTTTTAAGCTTCCAATTAGTGTTCCTGGAACTGGATTATAGTCACCTATAAAAATACAGAACATTAAAAATTAATTAAAAAAAAATACTCTGCAGAAAGACAATAATATATTTTACCTATTAATAAAAATATTCTGATTCAGAATGTATATAGAGGATTTTAATATTACGAGCCGACCCGCAGCGTATCATACGCCGCTATTTAGTTGTTTTATTTTCTACTTTTCAGTAATTCATAATTTGTGAATTCAACAGTACCAATGCTGACACTGAAAATATTTGCTTTAAAACACTAAACACTAACCCCCCCCCCCCCCTTTCCCCTAACCCCGACCCTACACCCCCCCCCTCCCCCGTGAAAGCAGCCTCCTCTTAGTTATTTCTTAGTTACCTCCTGTAAGTTTAAAATCGAACTAAATTATCTGCACCTAATAGAAACCCGGCTCTAGGGCTCTACGATTTGTAAACATTTAGCTTTGTAAACATTTAGAGTGAACACCGCTCACCAGATAATGTGGGGGTGGGGTGGGGGTGGTAGTAATAGTGATAGAGAGAAAGAGAGGGGACTGCAAGGAGGCGCTTGCAGCTTGTTTTCTAACTGATCCCAGAAGAGAATTATATATATAGATTGTATTCCTGACAGTAAAATATAAGACACTTCATATATATATTATTTATGTAATAAATATGTATACACAATTTAATTGATAGCATTGTGTTCAAAACTTAAATCAAGAATATTAATTTTAAAATTTAAATTTGACTTTTGTGCTCCTGAGTAACACAACATTTTGGACTTTGTTGTAAACACATCTATTTTAAAAACATTTTGAAAATTAACCTTTGAAGAAAAAAATTTAACTTACAACAAAATGCAGAAGTAAATACAAGGTCAACTTTCTCTTCTACACTTAATTTAGTGATGTCTCCTATGAGAACTTGTATTTCTCTTGTTCCAAAAGGAGTTGACAACACTATTTTATCTTTCTCAGTTAGCGCCATCCTGAAAACATTTAGATCTATGTTTTAATAAAGTTATAAATAAAAGAACAATTATTTTAGTAGTCTAAAAGAAAAAAGTTTAAAAAAATGAATCTACTCCATAATGGATAACATCAAATTGTCATTTTAGAAATTTTAGATTTGTAAAAATGATGTCATCACCAAAAGTTTTAATTTACAGTGAAACAAATAATTCTGGGGGGGGGGGGGGGGGGGGGTCTATGGAAAAGGGGGGGGAGAGGTGTTTCTAACCACCCCAACAATAAGTGCCTTTTTGAACACTTCTCTTCAATACTTTTTTTGATTGGAGCTGGATTCTGGACACAGCATTACCTGTAGTAACTGCCTTAAAACATAAAATAATATTATTAATAGTGCCTGGATCTAGATCTAGATATAGTTTTTAACAGCAATTTTCATTCAGATCTAGATCAATAACTTTTTCTTAAAAATCAGTATTTATTCATTTTATTGCCATCATTGCTATTCACTATACTTCACTATAGCCTATATAGTATATAGTAGAATTCTATATTCTGTTGTTGTTAGGCCACTGTTTTTTTTTATTTATCTACAAATGGTTATTTAATAATATTTATCTCCCTTCCATGGTTTTTCAAGGGAAGCCACTCAAATATATTTCTAGTTCAGTAGATCTAGAACTAGATCTAGATCTAGAGATCTAGTACTACGTTGACAAAATCCTACTAAGTAGATCTAGACTTCTACTCTAGAGATCTAGACTAGACTTGGACTCGATATCTAAATCTAGATTCTAGATGTAATAAAAGTAGAGTCTATAGATTTTACTTCCTAAGACTAATTCACTAAAAGTAAGACCTATTGCGTGACTATTGCCGTGGTGTCAGTATTGGTAAGTTATTTTGGGGGAATTTTTTTACCAGTGTCGTAGAGAATCTTCTTTAAAATAATAAACCGGGAGTGATCTCCCCTAAGCTTTCTCGAATATTTTTATATAAAATAACAGGGGATGGAAACTCGGGCTATAGACATGATTTTTAATCCATTTTAAATACTTAAAACTTAAAGTTTTAAAAATAGAATAAAATCTCGTAGACAAAAGAATTGCACACCAAGTGAACGCTAAATAAAAAAAGTGCATAATAGTGCGCGATATTATTAGCACTTTAAAAATTTACATTAGTTTTTTGAGAAATCGGAAGTAGCGTAATTTACTAGTCTACTTCCTTTCAACAGAAATGACTCAAAATTTAACAGAAGGTAGAGAATTAGATCTTTTACTTACATGTGAAATTTCGTTTATCTATCTGAAATAGTACTCAAGTTATAGGCTTTTGAAAATTTCAAAGTAGGAAAAGTACCACTTCTGGTTATCGGAAATCGCTCAAAAGTTGATACGGATCTACGATTTTGATAAAATACTTTTTTTTTTTTTACTTATATATGAAATTTCATCAACCTAGCTGTAACGGTACTCAAGTAATCGTGTTTACACACACACACACAGACAGACACACAGACAGACACACAGACATACGGACAAGATTGCAAAATTATGTTTTTCCATATCAGTGAGATGTAAAACGTCGAGATTTGTAAAAATCTCGATTTTTTTTATTTGCACGATTACAAGACTTTCTCTATACTTCGTATATACGAGAAAGTAAAAAGGGGTGACTGTTAGGCTAGGTTACTGGACGGGACGGATACCTACTACCTAGATCTAGTACTGTAGTACTATATATAATATAATACTATTACTACTAGATCTAGATCTAGATCTTAGGTATTACTACACTACTAGTACTACTAGTCACTACCTACCAATTTTTTTGGTAGTTGAAGTTGGTAGTTTGTTAGTTAGATTTAGAAATCTAGATGATATTATAAAATATTGTTTGATAGTTATAAGTTATAGTAGGCCAGTAGGCAGATCTAGATCTAGATGATACTAGATCTAACTAAAATACACATTTCATTACATTACACTGTACACTGTCTATTACACACAACATGGCTTGCTATTTTAATAATAAATTAGGTTGGCATTTTGTGTCAATATCAGCCTTTGAACCTTGTCTGCTTTCTGTTTTGATCTCATGCTTTGTTATGTAATGAGTTTGATAAATGTGGGCTGTAAAGGTGGTTGAACTAATCATAACTATTGTTTCGATGAGTTGAGCAGCAAGTCAGATGAACTTACCATTTCACTGTAATTTAATGTTAGTATTTTAAAAAAACACGATGAAAACCGAGGACGTTGGAACATTAATTCTACGAAGTGACTACTCGGAAGAAGCTTTTTCTCCCCAACGTCTCCACTTAGTCAGCAAAAGATAGCTCTGCGCATGCGCAGTGACCTAGGGTTAGGGCTAGAATCATAGAATGAGGGTTAGGGATAGGATTAGGGCTAGTGCTAGGGTTAGGGATAGGATTAGGGCTAGGGTTAGGGATAGGATTAGGGTTGGTGTTAGGGTTCTGCGGTTGTAAACACACGCATGCGCAGTACCATCAAAAACATCGCCGCAATGGCAAATCGTAGTATCTCTCCATTGCGCATGCGTATCTTATTCCGGCTAGCATCGGCCTTAATTCTATTAAATGCTATTAATATTATGTTTAACATAATTACAATCTACATACTTGATACTAAATATTTTTAGATGAATTATAAAAATTACCATGCGTATACAAGCTACACACATTACATTACATTTAATTAATCCTAAGTTAATTTACACTCTCTGAATATTTAATACATAAAAGTATTAACACATTACATGCAAATATATATTTGTGAATTTTTTCCCGTGACTTTTTTTCCTGTGACTTTTTTTTGTGTTTTTTTTCCCTGTGTTTTTTTTTTCCTGTGACTTTTTTTCCTACAATCTAGTACAATACGCCTAACCCTAATTTCTAACCATAAAACCAGTCGAGATCACAATACTACTAACAACCTAACACACCTATTTTTGGAAGAGTCTATTATTATCAGACATCGGTTTCTAATATAAAATCATCCGTTACTTTTATATGCAGTTTTTGTTTAAGTTTAAGTCTTCTTAAACAATAATGAAGTTGAAAATCCCATGCGACACCCTAACAAAGTTAAAGTTAATTGATTGTTATGTTATTTTACAGTTTGGTGACACATTATAGATCAAGTAGATTGATAATCTCCTCATTATATATAGATCTCTAATAGTTAATTACTAGACTATTATTAACAATATTAAATCAGTCGGATAAATATTTTCTCTTTGTTTTTTTTTCCCACTCTGTATCAATGGGATTTTGGACCATATTTCAAGTCGACCCTTTGACTCATTGTATAACTTGCAGATCACAATACATTATCATAATCCCTTCTAAGGCCAGAACTAGATTAAGCTTGTTCAAGTCTGGCTAATTCAAAATTACATTTATGTTTTTACCAAATGAATAAATCTTTGTTTTCTAAAAAACAAAATTAGATGTCGTGGATACTGGTATAAAAATGCAGAAGTCTGTGTGGGAATTAACCAGTGAATGGTGGAATGAAGTGAGGTTAAAGGTCAACCATGGTGTTGTGTATATGGACTCCAGCATGGCGGAGCTACTTCACTGGAGTGGTGGTGTGGATATTTTACTTTCTTCAGGTGCCGTTGATGTGCGAGAATTTTCTTCCTTTGAGGTATTTTTTTCTTATTATTATGTATTGTATAATCTGTTGTTCCACTGTCAGTGGTGTACATAATATAATATTCAATTGCTACTAGAGTTATAACAATTAATGTAATTTGTAATAAAGTGCACTAAGGTATTGTTTTGCAGAGAACTTTTTCTGGATTGTATTCATAAACTAGGCTTAAGTTAAACACTATAATATTGGCAATATGTTTTTTTACCTGTATTTAGTGTTTTACTTTAATTTTAATTATTATTTTGTAAGTTCATGATAATATTTACACAATTTTAAATTATATTTTTAAAAAATAATTTAGTCTATCTACTACTTTGAATAGTCATTGCTTTATTTTTTATCACAAAAGAGTGCACAAGGGTCTCAGAAGAAAGGAGTTTTTATGACAAGTTCCCCATTATCAGGAGTCACACTAGACATCATTAGAGATGTGGTCACACAGAGCCACTTTCAGTATGTTATCGTCATGACAACAGTTAGTCCACAGCTGTATACCTCAGCTCAATCAAGCAGTGATAAGGCCCTGGAGGAGCTGGAGGAACAAGTTCTTGAATGGATGGGGAATATGGTAATTGTTGTTTGACTAGCTATCTATATATATAATTCTCTTCTGGGATCAGTTAGAAAACAAGCTGCAAGCGCGCCTTTGCAGTCCCCTCTCTTCCTCTCTATCACTATCACTACCACCCCCACCCCACCCCCACATGATCTGGTGAGCGGTGTTCACTCTGTTTACATTTTACAATCACAGAGACGGGTTTGGTGACGGCTATTAGGGGCAGATAATTTAGTTTGAAACGATTTTAAACTTAGAGGAGGTAATTAAGAGGAGGCTGCTTTCACATGGGGGGGGGGGGGGTAGTGTTTTTAAGCAAATATTTTCAATGGCAGCATTGGTACTGTCGAATTCACAAATTATAAATTACTGAAAAGTAGAAAAAAAAACAACTAAATAGCGGCGTATGATACGCAGCGGGTCGGCTCGTTTAAGTTATTATGTTAATTCTTATGGAAGAACAAGTTCTTGAATGGATGGGGAATACGGTATGGTTGTTTCACTAGTTATTTAAGTTTTATGTTCATTTTTATGGAAGAACAAGTTCTTGAATGGATGGGGAATATGGTAATTGTTGTTTGACTAGCTAATTCTTAAGGAAGAACAAGTTCTTGAATGGATGAGGAATATGGTATTGTTGTTTCACTAGTTATTTAAGTTTTATGTTCATTTTTATGGAAGAACAAGTACTTGAATGGATGGGAAATGTGGTAATTGTTGTTTGACTAGTTAAGTTTTATGTTAATTCTTATGTTGTTAATTTTTAATTTATCATCATCATTATCTTTTCCTGTTTGTGCCCAAGACACATGGGGCAGATGAAGTAGAGTTCATCTGTTTCAATGACCTACATATATGAAGAGATAGTGTCACATCGTGGGAAGCACTATTTTTTTACTTTCTCTAACATGAGTTAGGTACCCACCAGAGTGGGGTGGACTCAGAGACATTCTAAAGACATGAACTTGGGATTCGAACTCTAGACTTTTGGTTTAGTAGTCGAAATCTCTACCATACAACCACATTGACCCTATTTGGTATTCATGTTAATTCTTTAAGTAGTGAAGTTTTAATTAACAAAAGAAAAAGGTAAACTAAAACACTTAGAAAAAAATCACCTCTTACTTTACTGTTGCTGGTGTTGTTTAAATAATTTTGTTTGTCTGACTAAATAATAACTTTTCCAATCCTCAGAATTATACAGCTGAGATAACTCATATTCCCTTATTTGGTGCTGAAGTGTGTCCGGGTTTGTTTATCTCCCCTGCCTTCTCCCACCTCTTCCCCCTATTGTCTACAGATCTGAATCAGATAGCTTATCAGTACAGGAGTGCTACTAAAGTTAGTCACATACTTTATTCATCTGACAGCTATCATAAAACATTTTCAAAAAAGATATTTGCTCGATATAAATAACTTTTATAATAAAACTAAAAAAAAAATAACTTTGTCGGTAGGTATAAATTAATATATATCCAAGGAATAATATTATTAAAGTTAAAGAAATGTTAGCTTAAATAATGTTAAAATTTCAGACCTGGAAATCAATAAGCCTGATGAAGTAGAGTTAATGTTTTTATAACATTGGCATTTGAAGGGAAAGTGTGGTCAGTTCATTTTTAGCTGCGTTGGATTCAGGGACATTCTATGGACTCAAGTCTGGGAATAGAGACTTTTGGTGTAGCAGTCATGCGCTCTACTGTCTGACCACCATGTCCCATGATGTTTATGTGCAGCACATTAAACATAAACATTATTACTCGTTGGCAACCTTGTCAAAACAATATAAAAGGTTGTAAAAAAACCTGGTTGAAAGTATTTTAGACATGTATTTAAATACAAACTAAAATATGATGAGTCAAATAAAAAGTCTCATCTATTTATACAAAACTATTATTCTAGTTTAATCATATAAAAAATTTTTCATGCAGGATTCTAAACCTCTAGAGGAATTGAAAGATGTTGAGATGCATCATTTACCGGAGAAACTGCAGTTTGAATTAAAGGTAGTTGTGTGCTTAAGGATATATATGTATATATATATATATATATATATATATATATATATATATATATATATATATATATATATATATATATATATATATATATATATGATATTTATTTTAAATTGTTTAAAAGAAACATATGGTATTCCAGGACTTCCTCCTAGTAGTCTAGATAATTCTGATAATTGAAACTATTTTAAAGAAGGTGCTTTGTGTATCAGTAATTTATCCTGTTCATATGGAGATTTTAAGTTAATTTAAGAATAACATTTGGTGTAGCGTCATTTTCTTGTTTCAGTCTTTAGCAAGTGGACTCCATGCTCTCCTCCAGTGTATAGATGTAAGGGAAGATGTCTATTTTATTGGCAATACAAGCAGACTTGTTGCTACAGAGTTGGATGTTTATCCTCCTGCGAGAGCTCGGAGAAAGGTTAGTCAGAACATTTTTTGATAGGTCAGCTAAAACACTTTGGTCAGCTAAAACACTTAGGTAATTTAAAACACTTTCAGTTGGGTCAGCTAAAACACTTAGGTCAGCTAAAACACTTAGGTCAACTAAAACACTTTCAGTTAGGTCAGCTAAAACACTTAGGTCAGCTAAAACACGTAGGTCAACTAAACCACTTAGGTCAGCTAAAACACTTAGGTCAGCTAAACACTTTTAGTTTGGTTGGCTAAAACATCAAACTCAGTCTGACTTAAGTTATATATCATGGTTTAAAATTGTTTTAAACAGTTTTGACTTTTGTTTTCTTCTAACATACAAGATTATAACAATTACAATTCGGATCCTTAATGTCCTTCCCTCAGACTGTCCAGAACAGGGCGTCCCTTGTGCTGATAGACCGTAGCCTGGACCTGGCGACCTGCGTCACTCACCAGCTGGACACACTGCTGGACAAGCTGCTCAACACTCTACCTGCGCTACCTGGGCACCAGACAGACAGACTAGTTGACGTGCATTCCCTCACCAATGTCATCTGGTAGGTACAGAGACTAGTTGACGTGCATTACTTACTTAGAGTCTACTTGACTTGCATTCCCGCACTAAGGTCATCAGGTGAATGTTATATAATTAGGCTAGAAAAAAGTGGATGAGAATGAAATTTGCCTTTATTTATAAGAAAATAACTCAGGGCTTCTTTATGTAGTTCATTTAGGTCCTCCCTCAATCCAGAGGGTTAGATGAGATATTCTGTTTGATAATGATGTGATTTTTAGATCTTCAGATAAACTGTAGCCTTCACTTAGCTCAACAATTTAATGTCATTTAAAAACTGAATAAATCAATGTTTTATCTTAATAGATTGTATTGTCTTATACCTAACAACTACCATTTTCCAGCAAATATTTCATATAAAAAAATAGATGAAAATTTTTGTCTTTTATGTAGTAACAGCCATTTTTATTGTTAATATTTCGTATGATAAATTTAAAATAAATAGATGAACATTTTGTCTTTTATGTAGTAACAGCCATTTTTATTGTTAATATTTCGTATGATAAATAAATAGATGAACATTTTGTCTTTTATGTAGTAACAGCCATTTTTATTGTTAATATTTCGTATGATAAATAAATAGATGAACATTTTGTCTTTTGTGTAGCACGAACCAGTTCGCTAGAGTTATCCTCCCTGGAAGTTTGTCCCCCACCTCTTGCTCTAGTCAACCCACTCACCTCTTGCCACTTGTTCACAAGAAGCTCAAGGTAAGTAGAGCATTGCACAACCTACACACCACTGCACACCATATACACTTAACACTGCACACCATATACACTTAATACTGCACACCATACACACTTAACACTGCACACCATACACACTTAACACTGCACACCATACACACTTAACACTACACACCATATACACTTAACACTGCACACTTAACACTGCACATCATACACACACTTAACACTACACACCATAATGCTGCACACAATACATGCTTAACACAGTACATCATACACACTTACACTAGTCTATAAGACAAGTTTTTCTAGTCTTTAAAACTACTTCTTATATTGCCATGTAAATATTGTAATTAGCCAGAACAATTTTTCAATAACAGGAGGCGATATTAGATGTGAACCGCAAGCTTGTTGAGGCAGCTTCTGCTGAAAAACTTCCAATAAATTTATCTGGCAGGCCAGGCAGGGTCACTGCAGATCAATTAGAATCTACAGCCTCTCTGTTTAAGTGAGTTGTGTCCACTTTTGTTTTTACGGATGTTAGTAAAATATTAACCGAGTTTTAAAAAAATTAAATGATAGCTATCAAAAATGTGTTTTATATACTACATTATTTATAAATAAATATTTATAATTAAGAAGTAAAATTAAAACCTGTTTTAACATTTTGTTTAATGAGAAATGAAACTGTGGTTTGGCTTTATTCTTTTTTTTTATGAGTATATCTTAGTTAATTATAGTATATTGCAAAACATCAACTCTGTTTAGTTTAACTTAAGTAAAGTGTTTTATTGTTTAATTTACTTTTGTCATTCAGAGGTAAATATCCACTCATCATGAAGCACCTGGATTTGCTTCAAGTTTCCATGGCAACCAGCCAAGCTCTGAAGCATCCATCTTCTAGTAAAAACGACACAGCTGTACTGATAGAAAAAAACCTGACCCAAACCATCGCAGACTATGTGGATGATACAACACCCAGTGCAATAGCCTTGTTATCTAAGCTGATCTTGAAGGAAATGACTAAACCAGCTAATGAAAGGTGATTTTTATACTTGAAAAACTTGTATTAAATAAAATTTAAACATTAGGCAAAGCTCAATTTCTGTTTTATACTTTCACACATGTAAAAATTATACAAAGATTTTGTTTACTTCATATAAATTTGCCTTGTAATTTTAAAGTTGAAATTCTGCTTAATTTATGCTTCTGAAACAATATCTCTTCTTTTGTTATTGAACCTTTATTATTCTATATACCAATACTTTTAATACTTTACTTATTCTTTAAGAACTACGAGCCGGCCCGCGGCATAACATACGCCGCTATTTAGTTGTTTCTAATTTTCAATAATTCATAATTTGTGAATTCGACAGTACCAACGCTGACACTGAAAATATTTCTTTAAAACACTATAAGTAGCTCGTTAAGGACCATAACCCCCCCCCCCCCTCCTCTCCCCCCCCCCCCCCCTACGTTTAAAATCGTTGGCTCTGCTTGTAAACATTTAGAGTGAACACAGCTCACTAAAACCATGTAGGGGTGGGGAGGTAGGGAGAGCGTTTGCAGCTTGTTTTCTAACGGCTCGAAGAAGAGAATTATATATATAGATAGCTATCTATATATATAATTCTCTTCTTCGAGCCGTTAGAAAACAAGCTGCAAACGCTCTCCCTACCTCCCCACCCCTACATGGTTTTAGTGAGCTGTGTTCACTCTAAATGTTTACAAGCAGAGCCAACGATTTTAAACGTAGGGGGGGGGGGGAAGGAAGGGGGGGGGGTTATGGTCCTTAACAAGCTACTTATAGTGTTTTAAAGAAATATTTTCAGTGTCAGCGTTGGTACTGTCGAATTCACAAATTATGAATTATTGAAAATTAGAAACAACTAAATAGCGGCGTATGTTATGCAGCGGGCCGGCTCGTACATTTTAATACACATATATTGTTATACAAATAAAAATGTATATATCTTTTAAAATTTGATTTGACTATCTTTAGAATCATACCTATACTTTTAGAATCACATCCATGTTTTATAACTGTACCTATACTTTCAAGATTACAGTAAGATTTATACCTATTCTGTTTTTAAATGAGTCACTCCATTTCAATTTATGCCTCTACTTTGACAATATTCACCCACACATTTTGTTAAACCTTAACTAACAGCTTGATGTCCACAGAAACTTGACACTAGATGATGTCTTGTGTTTGATCACCTACATGTACGCTGTATCTGATGGGGAATGTGGGGATGAAGAGGAGGAAAAAACATTGAGGGTAAGTTTTTGTGTCAGTCGTTCAATTAATTTCTCTGTTGTGTGATGATGAAAAATATAAAATTTTATAAAATTAATTTCTAATTTAAGAAATGGAATGATTTACAAAAGATTGACATTGTAATTGATTAAATAAATAATAAATGAGAACTTTTATTTACACAGCCATTGTTGTTTTCACTGTGATTTTTAAAATAAAGAATCTTTTTGTTTATCTAAACAGGAACAGTTTGTTAAATGGATATTAGATGACACAGATAATCTGCCTCCACTGGTTAGACAGATTGGTAACTTACTTTATATAAATATTTTTATACTCTATTTTTAAGGAAATCACCTAACCATAAATAAATTGTGTAACTCATGAAATAAAAAATAAAAAACTACCTTTGAATAATCTCACTTTTAAATAGTCTAAATAACTGATACATTACCTCAAAAATTTTATTTAAAAGGCTTAATAAGCAGCAAATATGTCTATACTGAAACATTATTCTGAACATATTCCAGTATTTTTTTTTCATTTTTGTTACTTGTATTTTATCCAGTTGGAGACACAGTAAACTCCAGCATTTTAGCTGATCTTATAGAGAGGCTTTGGGAAAAACTGGATGCAGTTGCAACTGCAAGGAGCGACTTACAACAATTTAGGTATTTTTTTTTTACAGAGATATTATATAGTAATGTTCTAATCTTATCAAGATCCATACTGTTTGATCTAGTTTTATCTGTCTTTTCCCGTCAAAACCCAACACACCTGTGGCCATTCTCCGAAAGTTTTTGTTTCCGGTTCTTGCCAGTTTGTTTGTCAGTTGTGTGTCTCCACATCTCTCTAGGCCTCCCTTGTTTCTTTTTCCAGTGTGTAGTCCTGTTTAGCGCCATTGCTGGAGTCTCATTTGACTTCAATCTCAGTACATGGCCCATCCAACACCATCTTCTTTTTTCTTTAAGGAAATTGCTTTAAGTAAATTTGGAAAATGGTCTGGGACTTTTAATCTAATGATCAGTTTTTTGACATATTTCTTTTAGAGGAGTTTCTAGTTTCAAGAACCAAAACAAGTGCTACTCCATACATTTAAAAAAATGAAAATAGCTATTAAAATTAATGTTTTTCTGAAAATGTTTGATCTAACCAATATGGATTCCGCGGTTTGGGTTCATGAATTTATTTTTACAAACATATAACCTGCAACCTGGGCTAGTGATAGACATCTCAAATTTGGCTCACTTATACAATTTGAGGTTAGGTAATTGTAAACTTAAAAAAAAACAATTCCTCTTTAGACCTTGCGATCCATTGGGCAGATGAAGTAAGGTTCATATGTTTCTTGACCTTGGCATAGGAAGGGATAATGTGGTCGGAACTATGCCCAGCTGCTTAAATTTTTTTAACGTGAGTTAGTTACACATCAGAGCTGGGTAGAATAGGGACGTTCCATTGAACTTGTCATGCAACAAATATTTTTTTTGCTATTTTAGATCAGTGTTGGACCCAGGGGATGATATGACACCCACCAGTGTCAAGTCTTTGGCACGTCAAATTTTGGAGAAGATCGTGGACCCCAGCAAGCCTGATCTGTCAGATATTGAGTGCAAATCTGGAGGGCTGAAGGATCTACTGAAGTCAGGGTTTGGGTAGGTTGTAGTGTAAAGATCTACTGAAGTCAGGCTTTGGGTAGGTTGTAGTGTAAAGATCTACTGAAGTCAGGCTTTGGGTTGGTTGTAGTGTAAAGATCTACTAAAGTCAGGGTTTGGGTAGGTTGTAGTGTAAAAATCTTCTGAAGTCAGGGTTTTGGGTAGGTTGTAACATTTTGTTCATGAATGAAAATAATCCATTATTCCTATGGGTTTATATACAAATTTCATGTTATTGGATACCACCTAACTGTGAAAGTGTTTTAATTCAAAAATGATCTTCTCCAGATTTTTTAAAGGCTCAGGTAAGCCCCGACCTGGGGACACACCTCTACTGTTGCTGTTCTTCATTGGGGGTGTCACAGCAGGGGAGGTGAAGCAGATCAAAGAGGTGGTGGACAAGGCGAAACCACAGTTTGAGGTATGGGATAGATACATGGTTATTTGCACTTAGTGTGGTAGGAATATGTGTACATTTTTACTATACGGTTAGTGTTGTAGAAATATGTGTACATTTTTACTAATTAGTTAGTGTAGTAGGAATATGTACATTTTTACTAATTAGTTAGTGTAGTAGGAATATGTGTACATTTTTACTATACAGTTAATGTAGTAGAAATATATGTACACTTTTACTATACAGTTAGTGTAGTAGGGATATGTGTACATTTTTACTATACAGTTAGTGTATTAGAAATATGTGTACATTTTTATTATACAGGAATTTAGATATGCTTGATAATTACTGAAACAGTGCAGATTCATATATTAAAATTATCAAGAATAACTGAAATATTAGGGTCTGTTGTTCCAATTTGTTCATATATTTTTCAGGTTCTTGTAGGCGCCACTAGACTGTCAAATAAAGACACTACTCTAGAATCCCTGTTTGTTGCAGATAATATCAACTTTAATTCCTAGCTCATTTTTTTTTTCTCTTTCTTAGTTTAATGTGAAATTATTGTTATTTTTGTGTGTAACAAATTTAAATTGAGATAACTAATATGTGTGATATAGATATTATGTATATTTAAATATATTTTACTTGAAGCTGGACAGATAATAACATTTTTCATTAGCATTTGACTTGTGATATTACTTGTTGCTAAATTACTTAACTTAGTGTCATTGATTTTAAATGGTTGTTACAACTCAGTTTCTAACTGATGTGTTGGATGGTTGTTGCATTAGCATGGCTTATGAATTATGGTGTTTGATTAATGTGTGGTTGTGGGAACTGGTGTAGGTAAGAAAAACTGTTTTTGTAAGTAATTGTAAGGAAGACAAGTGCAGACAACTCCTGAATGTTTTTAAAATATAAAATATGTTGGGTTATTGTTCCTGTTACTTTTTTTTCAAGTAGGCTTTAAAATTACATCAATTAAAATATTTCATCTTGCATTAAACTTATTTTTGAAATTAATATTACTAATGGCTTGTTTATCAATCAGAAATGTACTAACTGGACCCCAATTGATAGAAGGCAAAAAGTTTCTTCTCAAGGTCTTAACAGCAAATTTATATATATAATCTGATAGGCAAATAGCAAGATAAAAGCCAGTTATTGTAATGTATTCACTTAATTTAAAACATGGATGAAACAATTGCAAAATGGAGAACAAAATGTACAATTTTCAAAATATTTACAAGATAAATTACAAATATGTACACATTTTTTAATAAGTTTTATCCAAGTAGGATATAGTGGGATGGGACAAATCATCCTTATAAAGAGGGCATACTAAGCTTCAATCTGAATGACTCAATGAACAGCTAAGTTTTCATTCCTGACATAACCAGCATGGAAACTGCTGTAGGTTCATTTCCCAAAGATTTGCTTCAAGTTGATCATAGAATAACTTATACAGCAACCTTCTTTACAAACACTTCTCTTGAGCAAGTCCATATCAAGCCATGATACATGAAGCCATACAAAAACGTGCTAATGATGTAGACTATTATGCAATGGTCAACCATCATTTTTTAAAATATACTGATAATATTCCTTTCCCTAAGTGATACTTTCACATAATACGCACTACTAATCCAATTCCTCTATTTGCAGCTAGTGCACTAACCCAGTTCTTCACCCATAAATGGCATCCCAAGTCAGAAACACTTTTATTTTGTAATGGGTCTGTATTTACCAAGGGAGGTAAATTAATTAAAGTTTCTCTGTGTGAGTTGCTTCCCTTCACTGTTGATGATACAGTTCGTGAACCACCTCGCCATCTTTGATGTGGTCTGGCTGAAGGTTGACGTTGGGGGGTATGAAATCGTTTGACCACAGCTCCCCCCAGGCTTTGATATCACATGTCTGGGGTGGCAGGGGGTTGTTGGTCAGCAGCTGGTTAATGAACTGGTGGACGGATGCTGGGAGGTGCCCAGATGGCTTTTCCGGTGAGAGTGCTGTAGAAAACCAGGAAAAAAAATCTAAATTTAAAAGTGTAGTGCCTTAATGGCCAAAGGTGGGGGGGGGGGGGGGGTTGCGTTACGCACTGGGTGACAACATTTTGAGAGAGATATCAAAATTAAAAAAAAATCGTTAAATTTACCGTCAAAAAAATATTAAAGAATTTTTAAAATCCAGTTAAAATAATTCATTACTTAGGGAGTGGGATGACACCAAACCGAAAATGCACAATAGACAGAATATAAATCAAGCTACTCAGTATCTGTAACTTCGACATATGAATCGATAGTCTGGTCAACGACGTCCTATATTCAACCACACTAGTCTATTGGGTAAGTTTTAGTTTTAGGCTATTTCGTGCCAAATTTTTGTTAAGTAAGTTGCATCTTAGTCCCATCAATAAGTTTGAAAAATGCCAAAAATAATTTTAAAATTAAATTATAATCTGAAGCTAGAATAATTTTTTTTTTACCCACCAGGATTCACTATTGGTAGAGGATAACCACCAATAGGGGAGTTAACTCTAATCGTTAAATTTCCATCTTCTGTATTTTCAGAGTAGCCTCCCCTATTCTGCTTCGACTTTTGTTGTTTAAACCAGAGGCGAAGATCCGGCGGCGAAACTCCCATCTCGTGGGCAATTTTCTCTACAACATCATTCGGCGGGCTCTCTCCCTGTCTGTAACATTCTTTCAATAAGTGCTCTGGGTTCGATAACAGTTTATCCAATGTTTCGTTAGCTTCCAATACATCAGATGGTAGATCTGGAAAACGAAAAAAAAAAGTTACTTTAGAATAGGCTGTTATCAGTGGCGTAGACAGTGGGGGAGCGAAGGGAGCAGACGCTCCCTTTTGTTTGACTTTAATTTTAAAACAGTAGCGTATGTTTAGCTGATTGGTTTATTCAACTTAATACCAAGTTAAATAATGGAATGAAATATTGCCACTTTTTGCTAAAGTAGTGTCGCAATTGGGGGGGGGGGGGGGGGGGGGAGAGGAGACAGGGTAAGGGGCGGACGGACTGCACCGGTAGACATCATCCAAAGGGGTGACACCATCACGAAAAAATTTCTACTTTTGGAGTTAGTTGGGGAGGGGGGGGGGGGGCAGGGGGCAACTTGGAGTTTCTTTTAAGGTTACGCTTCATTAAGCTTCACATTGACAGTAAGGTTAGACTTGGGATTTAAGTATCTTTATAGGCACCACTAGCAATACGAATACACAGGTGTGGCAAATCGACAAATCATTTCCTTAAGTCCGATGTTAACTACCCTACATTATACCTGTTTAAAACGAAAAACGACTAAATGTTTGTATAAATTGTGTTTCACCCTATATCCTGTCAACCCCTTTCCCTGACTTCCCTGACTAAACAAAATTTAGTAACCTATTCTTAGGGGTCATCCATTTATGACATCCACACGGAGGGGGGGGGGGGGGGGGCGAAAAAATTGACTTTTACTGTTATAGGGGAATTAAGTGGATTTTTGTGAGGGGGGGGGGGTCCAAAATTCAAAAATATTTGTGGACGTCTTAAATGGATGACCCCTTAACGCGAATATCAAGTACGTATAAGTCACGTCACGTGATAACCACCATCTATCGTCTGCTGGTATCAACGTGAATATTTAAGAAAACACGACATTCGTTTCTCCACTTACGGTCTTGGCATGTCCTTGATCAGATAACAGAATTTGTGTTGTTGCCCCTCCCCCACCTCCACACCACCGCCCATAGTCTAGCCTATCTATGACAAGACACTTGAAAGGTAACGGCGTAACCCACCTAATGGTTTAATTATTCCGACGCGAGGGGCCGGGTCAATTGAGCTCGCGGTCAACCTAATTGGGAAAACGGTCCGGGATTTTCCGCTAATCCCGTGTTATGAGTTTCCCAATGAGACAGTGTGTAGCTGCGCTTTATGGTCTTTGCCTTCATAGAGGGCTGGGGTGAGGGAGGAGGGGAGGGGGTTAGATACAGGGCTGGGGGAGGGGGAGGGGGTAGATAGTAAAAAACCTGGATTAGAACCTGTCCACCTGATCAGGGGGAATTGAAAAAAATAAGCATGACCAGACTCGCAAGGGCAGAGAAGTGAGAAGCTGATAGTCTGACAAGGGGAGGTAAGAAACTGAGACAGGGGGATGATCGTGGAAAGTGGTTGAGATTCTCTCCCCACAACTCCCAGACAGGTGATTCCTAAATCGTCACCACGACCCAAACGTCCTAAAACCTCACCGCGACCCAAATGTCCTAAAACCTCACCACGACCCAAATGTCCTAAAACCTCACCACGACCCAAATGTCCTAAAACCTCACCACAACCAAATGTCCTAACACCTCACCACAACCCATGTCCAAAATTGTCACCACAACCCAAATGTCCTAAATCGTCACCACAACCAAATGTCCTAAATCGTCACCACACCCAAAATGTCCTAAATCGTCCCCACAACCAAATGTCCTAAAACCTCACCACAACCAAATGTCCTAAAACCTCACCACAACCAAATGTCCTAAAACCTCACCACAACCAAATGTCCTAACACCTCACCACAACCCATGTCCAAAATTGTCACCACAACCCAAATGTCCTAAATCGTCACCACAACCAAATGTCCTAAAACTTCAGCACAATCTCCATAAAAAACTGGTATAACATAGTTATGTTATACCAGCTAAATAAAAGAAACCAATATAACTTGTAAACTGACGAATTCCCTTATAAAATCTTTCCAATCTGCATCAGCAAATTTCGGTTGCATTTTACCATTCGCTACTTTACCGTTTTCCCGTCTCGCTAATCCAATGGCTTAATTTGTCAACCAGAAACTAATTCTCGCGCCTATTCCCTAAACCAAATGATTGACCACAAAAGAAATTCTTCGCGTCTGCCCAGCAGACGGCCCAATTGCTTCCACGGGCCTCGCGGTCAGGTGAGCGGTCATCGAATTACAATTCCTCGGTCTGTACCCCGAGTGGTCAACATTTCCCACGCAATGTGGCAGCTGGCGGTCAATTCCCTCCACCTTCGTGGTCTTACATTAGGTCAACACGACCTTCGAACAGTGTCAACATTAAAGAGATCTCCGTTACTGAAGTTTAAACTAGCCCGTTAAGTGCATTCAATCAACTTTCATTTATCTTTTTGATTTTGCTTTAAGTGTTATTTTTAAGTATACGTATTATAAATTTTTATTCCATAAAGCCCCCCCCCCCCCAAAGAAAGACTACCGCCCCCGCCTGCCCCCCCCCCCCCCCGAACGAAATGTAATTAATTTATATATAAAATATTTATTTTTAACAGTGACCGCCCCCCCCCCCCGATAATTTCACGTGCCCCCCCCCCCCCCCCGGAGAAAAAAGTCTGGAAGAAATACTGTTTATGTTCACGTTTTTTACGAAGTATTGTTAAGTTAATTAAGCAGTTTAGACAACTAATTGACTTACTGTTATTACTAAAGAAATTATTAAGTTGTTTAATTATTTTTTAACGTAGGGAGGGGTTCGTTGAGTTGACATATAAGCATATCTTAAAGGGCATGGCTATAAAGTGAGCTAGAATCTCCCTCTAGAGATCCGCCCATAGCTATACAAACATACATTACGCAACATTAAGAACAGTGCATTTAATTAAGCTATATTATACAATATTATAGGCTTAAATCAGCAAAAATTTTGATTATTTTTTAGGCCTACATTTTTCAAAATGAATATATTTCCCTAGCTAACCATAAATTTGCTTAAAATTAAAACTAATATTAATGAGTTTGCCAGTATTCAATATATCACTATATCTATTGCCATTTCTCACTATGTAGGGAGATATTTGGGCTTCGGCTTTAGGATCAAGTCCTCTCAGGGGCATGTACAATTTTTCTCTCAACGTGTTTTAAACAGTTGAGTTTTAATTGAAGACAAAGTGATGTCGGCTTTTGTTGTAGTCTAAATACGATTTATGTGAGGTGGATTATATGTACAGAGA